TGGGACCTGAGTTTTGCATGTGCATCCATTTCTGGGACCTGAGTTTTGCATGTGCATCTATTTCTGGGACCTGAGTTTTGCATGTGCATCCATTTCTGGGACCTGAGTTTTGCATGTTCATCCATTTCTGGGACCTGAGTTTTGCATGTTCATCCATTTCTGGGACCTGAGTTTTGCATGTGCATCCATTTCTGGGACCTGAGTTTTGCATGTTCATCCATTTCTGGGACCTGAGTTTTGCATGTGCATCTATTTCTGGGACCTGAGTTTTGCATGTGCATCCATTTCTGGGACCTGAGTTTTGCATGTGCATCTATTTCTGGGACCAGAGTTTTGCATGTGCATCCATTTCTGGGACCTGAGTTTTGCATGTTCATCCATTTCTGGGACCTGAGTTTTGCATGTTCATCCATTTCTGGGACCTGAGTTTTGCATGTGCATCCATTTCTGGGACCTGAGTTTTGCATGTTCATCCATTTCTGGGACCTGAGTTTTGCATGTTCATCCATTTCTGGGACCTGAGTTTTGCATGTTCATTCATTTCTGGTACCTGAGTTTTGCATGTGCATCCATTTCTGGGACCTGAGTTTTGCATGTTCATCCATTTCTGGGACCTGAGTTTTGCATGTTCATCCATTTCTGGGACCTGAGTTTTGCATGTTCATCCATTTCTGGGACCTGAGTTTTGCATGTTCATCCATTTCTGGGACCTGAGTTTTGCATGTTCATCCATTTCTGGGACCTGAGTTTTGCATGTTCATCCATTTCTGGGACCTGAGTTTTGCATGTGCATCCATTTCTGGGACCTGAGTTTTGCATGTGCATCCATTTTACAGATCTTGCTTATGTGTATGCAGATTGTTGCTGTGTGAAAGATGGGAGTTTGGAAGGGTCGAATGTAAGACAGGCCTGCGTCCCTAATTTGTGACCCTCTGAAAATAAAGTTTGTTCATTTGTTCGTTCCCTGCCTCTCAGGCAGATGCACTCCGACTTTGAAGGAAGCTCCTAATTAGTCTTTCGACGTGCTTGTTGGGGAGGAAGTGGGTCTAATTCTTGTTTTCCCCACAATGGGACCCCAGAACCCACACAGGAATATCGGATAAGTAGCGCTAGTGGTGAGTCATGTGATCAATATCTTGCTGGCCACCTCAACTTTCCCATAATTTCCCAGGACCCAATTTATCTAGACCAACCTGGCAAGCAGAGCTAAGTTAATAATCCAACCTCCAAGGGATAAAACACCCAAAAAAAAAAGGTTCTGCCAGTGACAAATCAGACCTATGATGCCAGACATAAATGTGTAGGGACCAGTCATCCATCTTTGTGAGATGTGGTCAACATCATGCCGGCCACCTTTACTTCCCACTACATTTTTAGGCAGAGTTGACCTGGCAATCTCAAGGGAAAATAACCATATAGAGAAATCAGAAATGCATGACTTTCACAGAGGCTTTTACAGATGCAGTAGACTGATCCCTGAGGAGGCCAGATTTCTTCAATATGTTAGACCAAATTTCAAAAAAGAGGGGGGAAAAACAACAACTAATTACACAGTGGTGGGGAACAGGAACAGAGTGGATCACATGTGAGACCCGGGTGCTGAAGCTAGCGGAGACCATGGTCATTGCTCTCTAAACTCTGGGCAGCACGCTCTTCTGTGTGGAGATGAGGAAAGGTCTAAACTTGTATGACCCTTGACCCAACACATGAATGCTGCTGCAACATTGCATTCTGATTTTCATTCTAAACTTGGTTGCTTTGTCTGTCCATGATATCTTCATTCTAAACTTGTTTGCTTTGTCTGTCCAGGATATTTTCATTCTAAGCTTGTTAGCTTTGTCTGTCCATGATATCTTCATTCTAAACTTGTTTGCTTTGTCTGTCCATGAAATCTTCATTCTAAACTTGTTAGCTTTGTCTGTCCAGGATATTTTCATTCTAAGCTTGTTAGCTTTGTCTGTCCATGATATCTTCATTCTAAACTTGTTAGCTTTGTCTGTCCATGATATCTTCATTCTAAACTTGCTAGCTTTGTCTGTCCATGATATCTTCATTCTAAACTTGTTAGCTTTGTCTGTCCATGATATCTTCATTCTAAACTTGTTTGCTTTGTCTGTCCATGATATCTTCATTCTAAGCTTGTTTGCTTTGTCTGTCCATGATATTTTCATTCTAAGCTTGTTAGCTTTGTCTGTCCATGATATCTTCATTCTAAACTTGTTAGCTTTGTCTGTCCATGATATCTTCATTCTAAACTTGTTTGCTTTGTCTGTCCATGATATCTTCATTCTAAACTTGTTTGCTTTGTCTGTCCATGATATCTTCATTCTAAACTTGTTTGCTTTGTCTGTCCATGATATTTTCATTCTAAGCTTGTTTGCTTTGTCTGTCCATGATATTTTCATTCTAAGCTTGTTTGCTTTGTCTGTCCATAATATTTTCATTCTAAGCTTGTTTGCTTTGTCTGTCCATGATATCTTCATTCTAAACTTGTTAGCTTTGTCTGTCCAGGATATCTTCATTCTAAACTTGTTAGCTTTGTCTGTCCATGATATCTTCATTCTAAACTTGTTAGCTTTGTCTGTCCATGATATCTTCATTCTAAACTTGTTAGCTTTGTCTGTCCATGATATCTTCATTCTAAACTTGTTTGCTTTGTCTGTCCATGATATTTTCATTCTAAGCTTGTTTTCTTTGTCTGTCCATTATATTTTCATTCTAAGCTTGTTTGCTTTGTCTGTCCATGATATTTTCATTCTAAGTGCTTGTTAGCTTCGTCTGTCCATGATATTTTCATTCTAAGCTTGTTTGCTTTGTCTGTCCATTATATTTTCATTCTAAGTTTGTTAGCTTTGTCTGTCCATGATATTTTCATTCTAAGCACTTGTTTGCTTTGTCTGTCCATGATAGTTGCCACATAATGATAAAGTTACACCTGTTAAAATGTAACAAAACTACTAAAACTAACATGTTGTTTATTTATAATAGTTAAAATCAAACTGAGAATAAATTACACAACAGTTTAATTGAAACAAAAACTCCAACACAAGAGAATGTCAAGGTTAGAGATGGAACCTGCTTGAGCTTGGCATTGCAGCTGGGGCTGGGCTGTCGCTGAGGGAGTAGTGATGTCAACAATTGAGAAAACTGATGTCAACAAATGAGAAAACTGATGTCAACAAATGAGAAAACTGATGTCAACAGAAAAGAAGACCAAAATCAACAGATAAGAAGACCGATATCAACAGATGAGAAAACTGATGTCAACAGATAAGAAAACTGATGTCAACAGATAAGAAAACTGATGTCAACAGATAAGAAAACTCATGTCAACAAATGAGAAAACTGATGTCAACAGATAAGAAAACTAATGTCAACAGATAAAAAAACTCATGTCAACAAATGAGAAAACTGATGTGAACAGATGAGAAGACTGATGTGAACAGATGAGAAAACTGATGTCAGCAGATGAGAAAACTGATGTGAACAGATGAGAAGACTGATGTGAACAGATGAGAAAACTGATGTCAGCAGATAAGAAAACTCATGTCAACAAATGAGAAAACTGATGTCAACAGATAAAAAAACTCATGTCAACAAATGAGAAAACTGATGTCAACAGACGAGAAAACTGATGTCAACAGACGAGAAAACTGATGTCAACAGATGAGAAAAAATGATGTCAACAGACGAGAAAACTGATGTCAACAGACGAGAAAACTGATGTCAGCAGATGAGAAAACTGATGTGAACAGATGAGAAAACTGATGTCAACAGATGAGAAAACTGATGTCAACAGATGAGAAAACTGATGTCAACAGATGAGAAAAATGATGTCAACAGACGAGAAAACTGATGTCAACAGATGAGAAAAAATGATGTCAACAGACGAGAAAACTGATGTCAACAGACGAGAAAACTGATGTCAACAGATGAGAAAAAATGATGTCAACAGACGAGAAAAAATGATGTCAACAGATGAGAAAACTGATGTCAGTGATGATGATTACAATATGTGTGTCTGTGTGTGTGATTGTGTATGTGTGTGGGTGGCTGCATGTGTGTCTGGGAGTGTGTGTCTGTGTGTGTGGCTGCATGTGTGTCTTTTAGTATGTGTGTCAGTGAGTGCATGTTTCTGTGTGTGTCTGTCTGTGTGCTTGGCTGCAAAACTCAGGTTCTGAAGACACACAAAAAGGCCAAACTTCAGAAGTTGATAAACAACCAGAACTTTTTGCCAAAATATAAAGCTGGTCAATGTCAAGAAGAAGAAGAAATATAAGGCCTCCATCTACATGACAGACCTCAAAGCTAGGACCTACATTATCACTTACAATACATGTAGGACCTACAAAACATGTAGGACCTATAATACATGCAGGACCTATAATACATGTAGGACCTATAATAAATGTAGGACCTAATACATGTAGGACCTACAATACATGTAGGACCTATAATACATGTAGGACCTATAATACATGTAGGACCTATAATACATGTAGGACCTATAATAAATGTAGGACCTATAATACATGTAGGACCTATAATACATGTAGGACCTATAATACATGTAGGACCTATAATACATGTGGGACCTATAATACATGTAGGACCTATAATACATGTAGGACCTATAATACATGTAGGACCTATAATACATGTGGGACCTATAATAAATGTGGGACCTATAATACATGTAGGACCTATAATACATGTAGGACCTATAATACATGTAGGACCTATAATACCTGTGGGACCTATAATACATGTAGGACCTATAATACATGTTGGACCTACAATACATGTAGGACCTATAATACATGTAGGACTTACAATACATGTAGGACCTATAATACATGTAGGACTTACAAAAAATGTAGGACCTATAATACATGTAGGACTTACAATACATGTAGGACCTATAATACATGTAGGACCTAAAATACATGTAGGACCTATATTTACATTCAGGACAAACAAAGAAACATAAAGCAGCTTACTTGTCCCTGAGCCTTTCTGATGCTGTCCATGGCATCAACTTCCAGAACAAGTTTTTCCTGAACTAAAGGACTGCAGATAGAAAAGTCACAGTCAGCAGTGCTGCAATTCAAGTTCTGATGTCTGCTTTAAAATTCTCAAACTCACCAAACATTCAAGTTCTGATGTCTGCTTCAAAATTCTCAAACTCACCAAACATTCAAGTTCTGATGTCTGCTTCAAAATTCTCAAACTCACCAAACATTCAAGTTCTGATGTCTGCTTCAAAATTCTGACACTCACCAAACATTCAAGTTCTGATGTCTGCTTCAAGATTCTGACACTCACCAAACATTCAAGTTCTGATGTCTGCTTCAAGATTCTGACACCGACCAAACATTCAAGTTCTGATGTCTGCTTTAAGATTCTGACACTCACCAAACATTCTAGAAGACATGTGACATATACTAAACACACAAGATGACATGTGACATATACCAAACACACAAGATGACATGTGACATATACCAAACACACAAGGTGACATATACCAAACACACAAGATGACATGACATTGATTGAAAAGAGGCAGATGTCATTTGGGAAAATTTGGGAGAACAGCATTGCCAGTTATGTAAGATTATCCTCATTGCACGTCGAACCACTCAGTCCATAAGTGCTCGGTTCCCTTCCTCAGCAAACCCTGCAGCGTGTCATGCTAACGACACCAGTTCTGTGTTGGTTTGTTATTCTTCTTTGTCTACCAGCGTACTGTTCTTGTTTGGCAACACCCTGTCTAACATGTTTAACATGTTGTACTTGCAGTCTGACCATGGTTGCAGATTCACAGTTCTCAGTTGGTTCATGCAAACATCTAAACTCTTTTAGAGCATTCAGTATATCAGCCTGGTCCATGGCTTGTCTGGCTTTCACAGTATCCTTACCTGCAAGCCTATCAACTTGCTCGTTTCCTTGTACTCCCATATGTCCTGGCATGAAAATGAAACAAATCCTTGACAGCCGTGAATTCTGTAGAGACAACAACCACAGCCTTCGGACCCAGCCCTTCTCTATCTTCCTGAGCATACTCATCAAGTCACAGAGAAAGCGAGCTCTAGTAAAAGTCTGTGTCTCTAGCCATGTTACTGCTTTAGTCACAGCCATGTCCTCCATAGTCAGACTACTTGTAGTTACGGCAAAAGCTTCAGAATCTTCCTTCACAAGTCTCCCTCCAAACCCACCAGCCCACTAGCTAAACAGCCCACCAGCCAAACAGCCCACCAGCCCAGCACCCAAAACAGTCAGCTCACTAGCTAAACAGACCACCAGCAGGACACTAGCTAAACAGCCCACCAGCCCACTAGCTAAACAGCCCACTAGCTAAACAGCCCACTAGCTAAACAGCCCACTAGCTAAACAGCCCACTAGCTAAACAGCCCACTAGCTAAACAGCCCACTAGCTAAACAGCCCACTAGCTAAACAGCCCACTAGCTAAACAGCCCACTAGCTAAACAGCCCACCAGCCAAACAGCCCACCAGCCCACTAGCTAAACAGCCCACTAGCTAAACAGCCCACCAGCTAAACAGCCCACTAGCTTAACAGCCCACTAGCTAAACATCCCACCAGCCAAACAGCCCACCAGCTAAACAGCCCACTAGCTAAACAGCCCACTAGCCAAACAACCCACTAGCCAAACAGCCCACCAACCAAACAGCCCACCAGCCCACTAGCTAAACAGCCCACCAGCCCACTAGCTAAACAGCCCACCAGCCCACTAGCTAAACAGCCCACCAGCCAAACAGCCCACTAGCTAAACAGCCCACTAGCCAAACAGCCCACCAGCCAAACAGCCCACTAGCTAAACAGCCCACCAGCCAAACAGCCCACCAGCCAAACAGCCCACTAGCAATACAGCCCACTAGCCAAACAGCCCACCAGCCAAACAGCCTACTAGCTAAACAGCCCACTAGCTAAACAGCCCACTAGCTAAACATCCCACTAGCTAAACATCCCACTAGCCCACTAGCTAAACAGCCCACTAGCTAAACAGCCCACTAGCTAAACAGCCCACCAGCTAAACATCCCACTAGCCCACCAGCTAAACATCCCACTAGCTAAACATCCCACTAGCTAAACATCCCACTAGCTAAACAGCCCACTAGCTAAACATCCCACTAGCCCACTAGCTAAACAGCCCACTAGCTAAACATTCCACCAGCCCACTAGCTAAACAGCCCACTAGCTAAACATCCCTCTAGCCCACTAGCTAAACAGCCCACTAGCTAAACAGCCCACTAGCTAAACAGCCCACTAGCTAAACATTCTACTAGCTAAACATCCCACTAGCCCACCAGCTAAACAGCCCACTAGCTAAACATCCCACTAGCCCACCAGCTAAACAGCCCACCAACCAAACAGCCCACCAGCCCACTAGGTAAACAGCCCACCAGCCAAACAGCCCACTAGCTAAACAGCCCACAAGCCCACTAGCTAAACAGCCCACTAGCTAAACAGCCCACCAGCCAAACAGCCCACTAGCTAAACAGCCCACTAGCTAAACAGCCTACTAGCTAAACAGCCCACCAGCCAAACAGCCCACTAGCTAAACAGCCCACTAGCTAAACAGCCCACCAGCTAATTAGCCCAGCAGCCAAACAGCCCACTAGCTAAACAGCCCATTAGCCAAACAGCCTACTAGCTAAACAGCCCACTAGCCAAACAGCCAACTAGCTCACTAGCTAAACAGCCCACTAGCTAAACAGCCCACTAGCTAAACATCCCACTAGCCATCTAGCTAAACAGCCCACTAGCTAAACATTCCACCAGCCCACTAGCTAAACAGCCCACTAGCTAAACAGCCCACTAGCTAAACATCCCACTAGCCCACTAGCTAAACAGCCCACTAGCTAAACAGCCCACTAGCTAAACAGCCCACTAGCTAAACAGCCCACTAGCTAAACATCCCACTAGCCCACCAGCTAAACAGCCCACTAGCTAAACATCCCACTAGCCATCTAGCTAAACAGCCCACTAGCTAAACATTCCACCAGCCCACTAGCTAAACAGCCCACTAGCTAAACAGCCCACTAGCTAAACATCCCACCAGCTAAACATCCCACTAGCCCACCAGCTAAACAGCCCACCTACCAAACAGCCCACCAGCCCACTAGCTAAACAGCCAAACAGCCCACCAGCCAAACAGCCCACTAGCCAAACAGCCCACCAGCCAAACAGCCCACCAGCCAAACAGCCCACCAGCCAAACAGCCCACCAGGCAAACAGCCTACTAGCTAAACAGCCCACCAGCCCACTAGCTAAACAGCCCACTAGCTAAACAGCCCACCAGCCCACCAGCCAAACAGCCCACCAGCCAAACAGCCCACTAGCTAAACAGCCCACCAGCCAAACAGTCCACTAGCCAAACAGCCCACTAGCTAAACAGCCCACTAGCCAAACAGCCCACCAGCCAAACAGCCCACCAACCAAACAGCCCACTAGCCAAACAGCCCACCAGCCAAGCATTCTCTACAAAACAGGCCACTTAGCCCCGCCTTGTTTTATGTTTTTGGCCTGAGCAAGTTACTTCTGTTGTCCAATGGGAAAAAAAGTGTAATAACATCCATCATAAATTTATTACTCTCGTTATCATCATCATTTATCATCTAACATGATCCTCATAACTCCAATAATATCTGTCTTCATGGCCCAGTTATGCCATATGACATCATGTTGTCTAACTGCTACAAGGCATCTATTATCAGATGTACTGTTTTCATATGAGCTAAAAATGCACATTTTGTAAAACACAAATGTGGTCAGACTACATTATTATAAACTTTGACTTGAATTTCAAATATACAGTGGTCTTTCTCTTGTGGGATGCAATTTTTCATTATTTTGAAGCCCCACCCTGGCTCTTGTCAAGGGCCGCAATATAGCCCGACCATAAAAATGGTCTCATGTCTGAAAGTGGTTTCCGGGACCTCTCAACAGGTGATCCTCATCCACATGGTGGTGCTTTGTGTCATTGGGTGTTTATCGCTTGTGTGATGTCCTAGTGGGGTAGAAAGTCAGTCAGTCAAATATGACCATACATGACACGTTCACTAGTACACACAACGACTGGCCAATCTGATCTGTGTCTAGCCTCACACAGTGTGGGATACACTAGCACACGTGCATACACACACACACACAAACATATACACACATATGCATGCTCAACACACACATGGATGGTCACACACACATACATGCAAATGTGACACACACATATGCATGCACTCAGTCACACACCCACAAATATGTATACACAACACACACATATACACTACAGAAAAAATTGAGAATGTGGCAAAGGTCACAAAGATATGTTACTTACACATGTTGTCTCACGAAATCAATATGTTCTCTGAGCTGTATGTTGTTTCTGTTTGCCAGTGAACATCTGGCTTGGGCCTTCAGCTGTAGATGTTCAGTGTACTTGACATGCCAGTGCAACTCTGCCAAGTCCATGATACAAGCCTCATGCTCTGTGGCAATCAAACATAGTTGGCAACCACTAGTTATATCCCTTAGCTTGTCATTCATTCAGCCATAAGCTCATTAATTCATTCATACATTAATTCAACTGTTTATACATCCATTCAGCTGTCTTCCTACTCCCACCCTCCCTTTCTTAGGACAGAAATAACTGCCATGGAGACTCAGAATAAAATGGGTACAAGTAAATCTTATGGGAAATAAAGGCAGCCAATATGATAATGGCTGGTCTATAGCAAATACTGAGTTAGCATCATGTGCCAAACATGCCTCAAGGTGAATAAAGGGACCTGACAACACACCACAGGCCCTACAACCTGGGGGAGTTCAGCTCCCTACAACTTGGGGGAGTTCAGCTAACTACAACCTTGGGAAGTTCAGCCCCTACAACTTGGGGAAGTTCAGCCCCCTACAACTTGGGGAAGTTCAGCCTCCTACAACCTGGGGAAGTTCAGCCCCCTACAACTTGGGGAAGTTCAGCCCCCTACAACATGGGGAAGTTCAGCCCCCTACAACATGGGGAAGTTCAGCCCCTACAACCTGGGGAAGTTCAGCCCCCTACAACATGGGGAAGTTCAGCCCCTACAACATGGGGAAGTTCAGACCCCTACAACATGGGGAAGTTCAGCCCCTACAACATGGGGAAGTTCAGCCCCCTACAACATGGGGAAGTTCAGCCCCCTACAACATGGGGAAGTTCAGCCCCCTACAACATGGGGAAGTTCAGCCCCCTACAACTTGGGGAAGTTCAGCCCCCTACAACTTGGGGAAGTTCAGCCCCTACAACTTGGGCAAGTTCAGCCCCTACAACTTGGGGAAGTTCAGCCTCCTACAACCTGGGGAAGTTCAGCCCCCTACACCTTGGGGAAGTTCAGCCCCCTACAACATGGGAAAGTTCAGCCCCCTACAACTTGGGGAAGTTCAGCCCCCTACAACTTATGGAAGTTCAGTCCCCTACAACCTGGGGAAGTTCAGCCCTCTACAACCTGGGAGAGTTCAGCCCCTACAACCTGGAGGAGTTCAGCCCCCTACAACCTGGGAAAGTTCAGCCCCTACAACCTGGAGGAGTTCAGCTCCCTACAACCTGGGGGAGTTCAGCCCCTACAACCTGGGGAAGTTCAGCCCCCTACAACTTGGGGAAGTTCAGCCCTACAACCTGGGAAAGTTCAGCCCCTACAACCTGGGGAAGTTCAGCCCCCTACAACCTGGGAAAGTTCAGCCCCTACAACCTGGAGGAGTTCAGCCCCCTACAACTTGGGGAAGTTCAGCCCCTACAACCTGGGAAAGTTCAGCCCCTACAACCTGGGGAAGTTCAGCCCCCTACAACTTGGGGAAGTTCAGCCCCCTACAACCTGGGAAAGTTCAGCCCCTACAACCTGGAGGAGTTCAGCTCCCTACAACCTGGGGGAGTTCAGCCCCTACAACCTGGAGGAGTTCAGCCCCCTACAACTTGGGGAAGTTCAGCCCCTACAACCTGGGGAAGTTCAGTCCCCTATAACCTGGAGGAGTTCAGCCCTTTGCTCTCAATTCAGTATGAGGACTCAAAGGCTCCCTTTAACCTTGCATAGATATTTTCTGTACAAGTATTTGTTTATTATTTCAAGTACATTCATCATATATTTATTTGCCGTTTAGCACATTTATCATAACAATAATAAATAATAATAATAATAACAATAATGATGTGCTGAATGACAAATAAATATAACACTATACTTCAAATAATTAGAAACATATTTTTAAAAATTGGTTAAAAGATCATTTCTATTTAATTTCTATTACAAAATCATTAGGTGTGGCCATTAAAGCCTCCCCCATTTTCTCTGTAGTGGCACACCGGCTATTTTGATGAGCATGCCAGATAATCTGGTCAACAAATTACACCTCAGACTTGCCAGGCTGGACGCAGAAGTACAACGTCACCACTTTTACTTTTACTACAACTACTATTACCACCACCACTACTACTTTTACTACAACTACTATTACCACCACCACCACTATTACTACAACTACTATTACCACCACCACCACTATTACTACAACTACAATTACCACCACCACCACTATTACTACAACTACTATTACAACCACCACCACTATTACTACAACTACTATTACCACCACCATCACTATTACTACAACTACTATTACCACCACTACCACTATTACTACAACTACTATTACAACCACCACCACTATTACTACAACTACTATTACAACCACCACCACTATTACTACAACTACTTTTACAACCACCACCACTATTACTACAACTACTATTACCACCACCATCACTATTACTACAACTACTATTACCACCACCACCACTATTACTACAACTACTATTACCACCACCACCAATATTACTACAACTACTATTACCACCATAACCACTAATACCACAACCACCACCACTAGTACCACTACTACTATTACTACAACCACTGTTACCACTACCACCACCACTACCACCACTACTACTATTACTACAACCACTATTACCACTACCACCACCACTACCACTATTACTACAACCACTACAACTACTATTACCACTACCACCACCACCACTACAACTATTACTACAACCACTATTACCACTACCACTACTACTACTATTACCACTACCACCACCACTACCACCACTACTACTACTATTACTACAACCACTATTACCACTACCACCACCACTACTATTACTACAACCACTATTACCACTACCACCACCACTACTACTATTACTACAACCAATATTACCACTACCACCACCACTACCACCACTACTACTATTACTACAATCACTATTACCACTACTACTACCACTACCACCACTACTACTATTACTACAACCACTAATACCACTACCACCACTACTACTATTACTACAACCACTATTACCACTACCACCACTACTACTATTACTACAACCACTATTACCACTACCACCACCACTACCACCACTACTACTATTACTACAACTACTAGAGTACCACCACCATGACCAACAACACCACTACTGCTATTACTACAACTACTACTACCATCACCACCACCACTACCACCACCACCACTACTACTATTACTACAACTACTACTACCACCACTACAAACACCACTACTACTACTATGACTAAAACTACTACTACCACCACTACAACCACTACAACCACCACTACGACTACTATTACTACTACCACCACTACAACTACTATTACTACAACTACTATTACCACCACCACCCCTATTACTACAACTACTATTACCACCACCACCACTATTACTACAACTACTAATACCACCACCACCACTATTACTACAACTACTATTACCACCACCATCACTATTACTACAACTACTATTACCACCACCACCACTAATACCACTACTACTATTATGACCACCACCACTAGTACCACTGCTACTATTACTACAACCACTATTACCACTACCACCACTACTGCTATTACTACAACTACTACTACCATAACCACCACCACTACCACCACCACCACTACTATTATTACTACAACTACTACTACCACCACTACAACCACCACTACTACTACTATTACTAAAACTACTAATACCACCACTGCAACCACCACTACAAATACTATTACTACAAATACTACTACCACCACTACAGCTACCACTACTACAATTACTACTATTACTACAACTACTACTACCACCACCACCACCACTACATGATGTGATAAAAACAAATCTCACTGACCTCGCTGTACCAAGGCAGGTAACTCCTTGAGATGACGAAGCTGTAATTCGTCTATCTGTCTGCGTAGCCAGTCTGCTCGTCTGATTTCTTTCAAATACTTCTCCTGGGTCTCCCTCCTGTCCGTCTCAAGTTCTGAGATTAGTAAAATGACTTCTGCAATGACCTCTTGGGCACCAAGGTCAGGGATAACTTGCACACCAAGGTCAGGGGTCACCTGCACACCATTCTCTGCTGATTACAAATTCAACAATTCTATTTCTTATTCATAGAGACAGATTGTTCCCCTTGTCACATCACTTGTTCCCCTTGTCACATCACTTGTTCCCCTTGTCACATCACTTGTTCCCCTTGTCACATCACCTATAGTCCCAGCACACATGAGACAGATTGTTCCCCTTGTCACATCACTTGTTAACCTTGTCACATCACTTGTTCCCCTTGTCACATCACTTGTTCCCCTTTTCACATCACTTGTTCCCCTTGTCACATCACTTGTTCCCCTTGTCACATCACTTGTTCCCCTTGTCACATCACTTGTTCCCTTGTCACATCACTTGTTCCCCTTGTCACATCACTTGTTCCCCTTGTCACATCACTTGTTCCCATTGTCACATCACTTGTTCCCCTTGTCACATCACTTTTTCCCCTTGTCACATCACTTGTTCCCCTTGTCACATCACCTATAGCCCCAGCACACATGAGACAGATTGTTCCCCTTGTCACATCACTTGTTCCCCTTGTCACATCACCTATAGTCCCAGCACACATGAGACAGATTGTTCCCCTTGTCACATCACCTATAGTCCCAGCACACATGAAACAGATTGTTCCATTTGTCACATCACCTATAGTCTCAGCACACATGAGACAGATTGTTCCCCTTGTCACATCACCTATAGTCCCAGCACACATGAGACAGATTGTTCCCCTTGTCACATCACCTATAGTCCCAGCACACATGAGACAGATTGTTCCCCTTGTCACATCACCTAAAGTCCCAGCACACATGAGACAGATTGTTCCCCTTGTCACATCACCTATAGTCTCAGCACACATGAGACAGATTGTTCCCCTTGTCACATCACCTATAGCCCCAGCACACATGAGACAGATTGTTCCCCTTGTCACATCACCTATAGCCCCAGCACACATGAGACAGATTGTTCCCCTTGTCACATCACCTATAGCCCCAGCACACATGAGACAGATTGTTCCCCTTGTCACATCACCTATAGCCCCAGCACACATGAGACAGATTGTTCCCCTTGTCACATCACTTGTTCCCCTTGTCACATCACCTATAGTCCCAACACACATGTGACAGATTGTTCCCCTTGTCACATCACCTATAGCCCCAGCACACATGAGACAGATTGTTCCCCTTGTCACATCACCTATAGCCCCAGCACACATGAGAGGAAGGATGTGTAGATGTCAGTTCTAGTCTGGGTGGTTCTAGTCTGGGTGGTTCGAGTCTGGGTGGTTCTAGTCTGGGTGTTGCCAGACTAGTCCTGCACACCTGTGTGTTACGCTGGCGTTAAGTGTCCAGGCTATCAGCGGGAGTTACCGCAGTAACCTGTCAAGCCTGACAGAGGTTCGTGAGGTGAGATCAGGAGATCTCAAGGTACTTGTCAGGCTGCAGAAGGAAGGTCTGGATAATCTCCACAAGATATTGTACATCGGCCTGTATGATCTCTCTAGTGACAGTGTATCCATGTGATAGGTGTGAGAGAGACAGTTACGTAATCAAGATTAATGGATTTGAGCGAGCAGGTAATGTTTGCCCATAGCAACCACAGAACAAGGTGACAGTCCAGAGCGTCCTGAGTGTGTGTTGACTTGCTAGTGAGAATGACTGTGGCAGTATAGAAATTCATGTTTCGTGATGCCTTTCATTGTCCTGGTGTTGAAATACATTGAATCTGCTTTGACGTTCAACATGTATCCGGCGCCCTCTATTATAGTTGGGCGGGAGTGGTGACTTGTAAATGTGACACTATTGAGCAAACCTAGATAAGTGGCAACTTGTGGTATATCAAGGAACTTTCCTGTGTGACACAGCCTATCACTGTCACATCAGCTGATCAGGCTCAAATATCATCAGATACATGTCTTATGGCTTAACAGCTAAATTCTGGAATGTCCGACCATCAAGATTCCGACTATTTGGCAGAAAGGTTCAGATGTCTGTTACCACTGACCCCAATCACCAAAGTTTCGGGACCAAACAGAGGAAGCCATGCTTGATGTATGCTCTCCAGTGCTGTTGTGCTAAGTAAGCAGATAAAACTTAGTGAAAGTGTCAGTCATGCTGTAGAAGAATGTACTAGAGCTGAATCAAACATTCACTTCATATTCCCTTTACGGCCGAATAGTTGACCTAATAACTATTCAGTATTCGGCTGAATACTTGCGGTAGGGCCGAATACGAATAGTAATGTTACAGTCCCAGCACAAATGTTATATCTCTTTTATATTCTAATGAATACTTATGACATCATATACAGTGCCAGCACACAGATTATATTTCTGTTACATTCTAATGAATACTTGTCCCATCATCTACAGCCCAGCACAAATGTTATAAGTAAAGTAAAAGTAAGGATTCCGTTTTATGCCTTTAGGCGCATCGAGCATATGGAAGGAGCACAAATATTCTTACAGGCCAATCAGCACTAGGTGGATAATGTTGTCGGCATTACTCTGTCGGCTTTACTTACCAAGGACATACATCCTGGTACCCATTTTAGTCTGGGTTGATCTGCAACGCCCCATACCAATCCACGCAGCCAGCAATGGGTTTTGATAGCGGTATGTTGGAATTACGAGTTGGACTCGCAATGTCTAAATAAATGTTATATTTCTGTTATATTCTAATGAATACTTGTTACATCGTCTACAGTCCCAGCACAAATGTTATATTTCCGTTATATTCTAATGATCACTTGTCACATCATCTTTAGTCCCAGCCCAAGAAGGAAGAATGTACCTGCTGACCACTGACTGGACAGTCCTGCAAGGGACATTTCTCTAATCACTGGTGGCAAGATCCTTGATGACTGTGAGTTGGTGGTCATTGAGGAAGTCCTGGGTGTGGAGACTGCATGCTGGGCACGTGAGCTGTGATCACCTGTGCTGGGCTTTCCTCCAGTGGTTTCAACCTTCAATGGCTTCTTTCCTGTTTGATCATCGGAGACTGTCAAATACTCATTATCACAGTCATCAACATCATCATCTTTATCATTATTGTCATCAACACAATCTCCAACATAAACATTATTGTCATTATTTTCCAAACAGAAGCCAGAAAAACACATTAAACCTCAGCAAATACCGATAAATCTGACAGGATAAAGATAGACTGAACAAAGTTAAGGAGCAAAAACTGACAGGATAAAGATAGACTGAACAAAGTAAAGAAGCAAAAACTGACCGGAGAAAGATAGACTGAACAAAGTAAAGAAGCAAAAACTCACAGGATAAAGATAGACTGAACAAAGTAAAGGAGCAAAAACTGACAGGATAAAGATCGACTGAACAAAGTAAAGGAACAAAAACTGACAGCATGAGTTCAAAACAAAGTAAAGGAACCATTTGCGCCATAAGTAGGTCCGGTGTTTGGTGCCAAACTCTTGTTTTGTTTTTTTACAAAATCAACCAGCTTGTCTCTTACAGACTACAGTCTGCTTTTTTTAAATGTGAAGTTGAGCAAGTTACACATGTCTCATTAAACATGAGGGAGTTTGTTTATATCTGGTTTAAAATGGGAAATTCACTTATATCTGGTTAAACATGATTTCAAGTTAAATTTCAAGAGAACCTTACTGAAATCTGGCTAAACACAGGAGTTACTGATGTCTAGTTTAACATTAGGTAGTTACTGATGTTTGGTTCAACATAGGAAGTTTACCAAATTCTTGTTAAGCAGGGAAACATTACTGGTGAGACAGTTACTGACATCTGGTTAAATACATGAGTTACTGATTTAGGGGGATAGTTCTTGTTAAACATAGGAAGTTTACTGAAGTTCTTGTTAAACGTAGGAAAGATATTGATAACTGGTTAAAACATAAGCAAGCCTGGAAAAGTTACAGGTGCAATATTGAAGGTACCTGAATGATTGTTCATCTTTTAATTACCTGAAGACACACTGTGTGGACTGACTTGTCCTGAGCTGCTCTCCCTGGTCTCCCTGGTGAACCATTCTTCGATGGCACTCTGTATGAGTTCTATATGACAGATGGCTCTGTTCACACAGGGAGTCTTACATTTGGAGAGTTCACTGATCCAGTGATGATATTTCAGTTCTGGAATCGTCTGTAGGTTCTCTGGAAATGTGCCAATGATGATTTCTGCAGCTGTATAATCAACAAAAGTGCCAATGATTTCTGCAGCTGTATAATCAACAAATGTGCCAATGATTTCTGCAGCTGTATAATCAACAAATGTGCCAATGATTTCTAGAGCTGTATAATCAACAAATATACTAATGATTTCTGCAGCTGTATAATCAACAAATGTGCCAATGATTTATGCAGCTGTATAATCAACAAATGTGCCAATGATTTCTGCAGCTGTATAATCAACAAAGACTGATTTGTACTTATGCTTCATAGACTATACAAAAGCATTTGACTGTGTGAAGCATGAAGAAGTAATCAAACTGTTAGAAAAATTAAACATTGATGGGAAAGATCTACGAATAATAAAGAATATGTATTGGCAGCAAACAGCAGCTATAAGAATAAACAACTGTTTAGGTACATTTCAAAGCATAAAGAGGGGCGTACGACAAGGATGTGTACTGTCACCTGATTTGTTTTCAATATACAGTGAATATATAATGAGATCTTTAATTAATATGCCCGGAATTGTGGTTGGTTGGCCACAATATAAAAAATTTACGTTATGCTGATGACACAGTCTTGATAGCAACAAGTCAGAAAGAATTACAGGAAATGATAGACATTGTGGTGTTAGAAAGTGGAAGAATGGGCCTCAGTTTGAATAATGGGAAGACAAAAGTAATGGTGGTATCAAAGAAACAAATTATTCCTAAATGTGTAATAAAAGTCAATGGTGTTATTTTAGGACAAGTACAGAAATTTAAGTATCTGGGCACATGGATAACATCAGATGGAAGGTGCATAATTGAAATAAGAAACAGAATTGGACAGGCAAAAACTGCATTTTATAAAATGAAAAACATCTTGTGCAATATATCCTTGTCATTGAGAGTTAGAAAAAGAATTCTTGCTTGCTAGATACATCCAGTTTTAACATATGGATGTGAATCCTGGACAATCGGTAGGCTGGCCAAACAATTTTTAGAGGCCTCAGAGATGTGGTTTTACAAAAGAATGCTTAGAATACCTTGGACAGCCAAAAAGAGCAACCAAGAGGTTTTGAAAGAGACTGGAGCCCGAAGACAACTTATCACAGACATCAGAAGGAGACAGTCATCATTTTTCGGCCATGTTATGAGAAGAGGGAAAATAGAACATGTTGTGACCACTGGAAAGATCTGTGGAAAAAGGGATAGAGGAAGACAACGAGAGAAGATGCTTGACAGTCTTGTTGCATGGCATGGAGGTGTGTCGGCACACAAACTGATACATGCTGCAGGAGATCGTGGATTATGGAGAGGCATGATCGCCCACAACAGTCGGCAAGGCACCTGATGATGAAGATGATAATCAACAAGTGTGTCAATGATTTCTGCAGCTGTATAATCAACAAATGTGTCAATGATTTCTGCAGCTGTATAATCAACAAGTGTGTCAATGATTTCTGCAGCTGTATAATCAACAAATGTGTCAATGATTTCTGCAGCTGTATAATCAACAAATGTGCCAATGATTTCTGCAGCTGTATAATCAACAAATGTGCCAATGATTTTCTGCAGCTGTATAATCAACAAAAACAAACAATACTTCAGAATTGTTTTTAAGCAGTCCAACTCACTTATAAATTATCACACTAAAAACTCTTTTTTGGAAGTTACATTTGGAGTCATGACCAGTAAGAGAAACTTTAAGCTTGTTATCTTTGATCATCATCATCAATTTCTACTTCTGCCATTAAGTGTTGTGGGGAGGAGCAGTTTGTGATCGACTGCTAGATGGGCATCAATGGTTATTGTCATTCTGTGTCCATGATCAAGCTCTTTAGTGTCATCAGTCCATCATCTTCTAGGGTGACCTCGTATATTCTCATCGGTTCTTTTCATGTGTAGCGCCTGCGTTAGTTGTTCTGGCTTCTTAATAGATGACCAAATTATTTGACCTTTTGTTTCTCAATGAATTTGCTGTATAGTTTTTTTTCTCCACAGTCTGTCTGATAATATCATTTCTAACTTTGTCTCAGATGGTTAAATTGGTGAACCTTTGATAACGTCCAAGTCTGCCACTGGTAGTAAAGTGTTGGTATGAATATGCTATTTAGTATCTGTTTCTCGGCGCTCATGCTTATGTTTGCATGTCTTAATAACAATCTTAGTTGTTATATAAGTGCACTGGCTCGTTGGCATCTTTTTTCTATTTTCCACTTTAGTCTCTTGTCCTCCAAGATTATACTTCCTAGATATTTAAATTTTTTAACTTGCTTCAGGCAAGTACCATTCATCCTGATATGTAGCGGACTAGAAATTTTGTCCACCCACATTATTTCAGTTTTAGTTGTATTTACTTTCATGTTATATCTTCTGCATATTAAACTCAAATGTTCTTGCAGCTGACTCACCTCATTATAGAACAGGCACTGATCATCTGCTAATAGTCGCTCACTTATTGTATGTGGATCTAATTATTCCTCTGAAATGAAGTTCCTCATTCTCTGGAATTACTTTTTTAAAGCTGGCTTTTTTTCATATACTGTCTATGTATATATTAAATAAGAGAGGAGAGATCGACTTACAATTAACAAGTTCAAATCATGTCAACACATAAATTGCCAAGTATACAGGAAATGAATGAGCCATATTTCTCTGTGTCTGTCTATACAGTCACAACAGCACAAGCTGCTCTAGGTGGAGTTTGGTCAACCTGGGTCCCTTGTTTAGCTGACTTACAATCAATCATGTGACTGTGACAATCTATCATTCTGACTTACATTTAATCAGTCATGTGATGTTTAATGTTTGTCAGAGGTCAGTGCAAGTATGGGATAAGGGGTATGATAGTGATAATTATTCAAGTCTGTACTTAATGACCTGTATATGAACTGTCCGTTACCATAGACGGACAGATGACCGTGTGAGTCATGATCAGCTGAGCTGTACACTTGGGAGCATTTTCGGGTAACCCAAAGTCGGAAGGTCAGAATTTAGAAGTTAGAACAAAATGCTTGCACAGAGGAGATTTGGCGGAGAAGATTCTGTGACGGCAACATCTAGTACTGAACCATTAGAGTGTAGCTAGTTTTCAACTGTGGTAGTGACTGATAGATTTGTATTTTGGTTATATCGCATTTGTAATTGTGTTGTACAATGTTTGATGAAGTTAGCTCTTGTAGCATTGTTACGTTTTAGGTTTGGTGAATTACATAACGTTATTCTCTATCTAAGTTTGCTGAGATTAGTATTTGATGATATTTTCTGCCCTCACACATTCTGTCACTCACTCTGTGCGTGCCTCATGATCCTTGTATCGGGGCCAGCGACAGTGGAAAGAGCCAAAGAGGTAGAGAGAGACACAGAGGTAGAGACAGACACAGAAAGAGACAGACCGACAGACAGACAGTCAGAGAGCCTGAGCTCCACTGAGTTAGAAGTGGTGAAGTAAAGTTGACATTTACATCCTTAACCATTTTCAAACTATTATCACTAGAACTCGCCCGTGTGTCACCGGGGCCCTCACGGGAAGCAAAAAATAGTGACACTGCACCCTACCAGGCATGTCGTAAGAGGCGACTAAGGGTAGGGTTGGGCTTGAGGTTGGCTACCTCATCCTGTAAAAACCATAGCCACAAAAACCAACCAACCATGGATAAGTCAAAAAGAGAAGTAAATAAAATCCAGCCAACCAAGATGAGGGGAGGCTCTTCAAATAGAAGAAGTATTACACGGTGTGGAGAAAGCCGTAAGGAGTCCGGATCGTTGACATACCTCCTCTCAGCTAGGAAAACCTCCAGAATTGGCACCTGGAATTTTAGAACTCTCTATGATATAAGGAGAACAATGGAAGTAGCAAAGGAAATGAAACATTATAGAATTAGTATTTTGGGGTTATGTGAAACTAGATGGACTGGGACAGGGAAAAGTATTCTTAATTCAGGAGAAACTATTTTGTTCTCAGGACACACAGAGGAAAATTCGTTGAAACTAAAAAGATATATAACATCTTATAGTCATAGAAACCAATATAATGTAGGCTTTCTCAGAGATAAATAAATTAAGGAACAGTTCTCAGTTACGGTCTCTAATAAGTACCAGGTGTTGCAGCAGTTAGCTGAAGATGTCGTCACAGAAGTCTGCTGGGATCAGATCAAAGGAATCTGGAATGAATCTTGCGTAGAAGTTCTTGTCAAGAAAGAAAGGAAACATAAAGCATGGATAACACCAGAAACCATTAAACTGACTGAAGATAGGAAAAGTAAAAAGGCAGAATTAAACAATAGCAAAACTAGAGCTGCTAAAGCTAGAGCTCAGGAGAATTACACAGAAGCCAACAAGGAAGTTAGGAAACATATAAGGGCAGATAAAGTGAAATATCTAAATGATCTAGCACAAGAAGCGGAGACAGCAGCAGCAAAAGGAAACCTCAGAGAACTTTACAGTAACACAAGAAAATTAGTAGGTAAATATAGTCAGCCAACTGGATCAATCAAAAATAGTCAAGGAAAGGTACTTACTAACACTAAAGATCAAATGGACAGATGGGTTGAATATTTTGAAATGCTTCTAAATAGACAAGGCCCAGAGGTTCCCCCAGATATCCAGCCTTTAGAAATGGAACTGGATATCAACTGTGAGATACCATCCAAAGAGGAAATTAGAAAAGCTATAAATCTTTCTTCTTAAGGAAGGAAAGGCGTCAGGCCCAGATGGTATCCCAGCTGAAGCCATCAGGACCAACATAAACACATCAACAGAATTGCTACATAGATTATTCAGTAAAGTCTGGGAGACCGAAGAAATACCAGCAGACTGGAGAGAAGGATATCTTGTGAAACTGCCCAAAAAAGGTGATCTACAGGAGTGTGAAAACTATAGAGGAATTATGTTGCTGTTAGTTCCTAGAAAAATATTAAGTAGAATTATTTTGGAAAGATTAAAAGATGCTATTGATAAAATGCTAAGAGATGAGCAGGCAGGTTTTCGGTCAAACAGATCCTGTACTGATCAGATAGCCACATTATGTATTATAATAGAGCAAAGCATTGAACTGAACTCACCACTTTACATTGGATTTATAGACTATGAAAAAGCATTTGACAGCATTGATAGGGAATCTCTCTGGAAATTGATGGGGCACTATGGAATCCCACAGAAAATTATCAACTTAGTAAAGGCAACATATAAAGACATGAAATGTTGAGTTCTTCATGAGGGAAAGCTAACAGATGCATTTGAAATAAAAACAGGTGTGCGACAGGGATGTCTTTTGTCGCCTCTCTTATTTTTACTGGCTATAGACTGGACTATGAAAACAGTAACTGCTAACACCAAGAATGGAATTCAGTGGACCCCTACAAAACAGCTTGATGATCTGGACTTCGCTGATGATATTGCTCTACTGTCCCATTCACAGAATCAGATACAAGATAAATTAAATATACTTAATGCGAGATCACAGCAACTTGATCTGAAAATCCATAAAGGAAAGACAAAGATAATGAGAATAAATCAGGCAAATAGTAATGTGGTTTCTCTTAATGGCACCCCACTCCAAGACGTGGAGTCGTACACCTATTTAGGCAGTAATGTAGATAAAGATGGAGGAACTGATAGAGATATTAAAATAAGAATACAAAAGGCAAGAGGGGCTTTCATAGCACTAGGGAATTTGTGGAGGTCAAAAGAAATTAAAAGAAATACTAAACTAAAAATTTTTAATTCTAATGTCAAATCAGTACTATTGTATGGGGCGGAAACATGGAGAACAACCAAGGCAATTACTAATAAATTACAGACATTCATTAACTGGTGCCTGCGCAGAATAGAGGGAATAAAATGGTATGATAGAATAACTAATGTAGAACTTTGGGAAAGAACTAAACAGGCTCCAGTGGATCAGGGGGTGAGGAAAAGACGCTGGCGTTGGATAGGGCACACACTGAGAAAACAGGAGAACAGCATAACTAGAATGTCTTTGCCTTGGAACCCACAGGGGCATAGGAATAAAGGAAGGCCAAAAAACACACGGAGAAGAGAGCTGGAGAATGAGGTTAGAAAGATTGGGAGGACATAGGGAGAGCTCCATGCAATGGCGAAGGATAGAACGATTTGGTGTGAGTTGGTTGAGGGCCTATGCTCCATTGGGGGATAGAAAGGCAGAAGAAGAATCACTAGAACTAACATGATATTAGGTTTCCACAGTTACACAACAATTTTCTGAGAAAAATAAAATCAAAAAAAACTCACGTCTGAATATGTATGACTGTGTGGAGTTGTCTGCAATAGCCAGCTGGTTATCATCATCATCAACACTGGGCAACACTGAGGTAGACATCTTTTTTGGGAGAGTGTAATCATCAACATGGATTGGATTGTGTACGTGTTGTTCATCTGCTTTCAGCCGAGCCACCGCATCCCTCAGCATTGCCATGCAACTAATTTTCGATCAAAAAGAGGTGGCCAGGGGCTAGAAAATTCATTACAAGAATAGATTAACAAATTCATAAACTGTATTTATTGAGTCATAAAGTGTTCACCCCTTTTAGGTTATAACTGTAAAATGTAGTGATTTTTATTATTTTACATAATAGATTTTGTTTGTTTTATTCATGTATTTTATACAACTTCTAGGCAGTCATAGCACTGTGAGTGGCCCTGAAGGCAAAGGCAGCACAGTGAAGGAGTGGCCCTAAAGGTAGAGAGAGCGCAGTGAAGAAGTGGCCCTGAAGGCAGAGAGAGAGAGAGCACAGTGAAGGAGTGGCCCTGAGGGCAGAGAGAGCACAGTGAAGGAGTGGCCCTGAGGGCAGAGAGAGCGCTGCGAAATAGTGGCCCTGAAGGCAGAGAGAGCGCTGTGAAATAGTGGCCCTGAAGGCAGAGAGAGAGAGAGAGAGAGAGCACAGTGAAGGAGTGGCCCTGAGGGCAGAGAGAGCACAGTGAAGGAGTGGCCCTGAAGGCAGAGAGAGCGCTGCGAAATAGTGGCCCTGAAGGCAGCGAGAGTACAGTGAAGGAGTGGCCCTAAAGACAGATCACAGTGAAGGAGCGGCTCTAAAGACAGAAAAAGAGCACAGTGAAGGAGTGGCTCTTTAGGCATTGACACTACAGAAACGCAGTATGACACTGAGACACGCTACACATCTAGCAAAAGACACGAAACTGTTATATCACGCCTCTCTGAGCGAGGCATAGCCATAAGGAAGAGTGCCGCCATAAGCAGTCAGTAGGACACAAGAAGAAAGTGTCCTTTCAACGTCTACTTTGCGTTTTTGATTATCTGTCCCGTTCTAGAAATTAATGCCAATGCTGAGTGGTGTATTGATTGGCCTAATCTTTAACAAATGAAATCGCGAGGTAATATACTCTACTTTGAGACTTGTTCACTGTTCCATAATAATGCGGTTCTTCACCCGATCCACCATTTTGACGCCGTTCGTTTCCATGGGCCGGAAACTGCCGAGATAAACAGACTTCCGGGCCGAGGATTTCCGACCAACTCAAAAAAAGCAAAATGGCGACGACCAGTTCTTTGAACGTCCATAAACAAAAGACGCGTCGGTCAAGTGTTGCCTCCTCCAGGACCATGTAGCTGGGCAACATCGCAACCGTGCAGTTCCTAGCTTCATTGACACATTGTAAGTTGACACTCCATCTGTTGTTTGTTTAAGAGCCTCGGCTGTTGATGCAAGTTTACCGAAACATGAAACGACACCACTCAGTCAGGTCGGCACAAACAACACACAACCTCTTCCTTGCCACACTCTCTCTGTCTTTTGTTTCATGCTCCAGCCATCATACTCTTGTCCTTTATCCGTACCTGGACACACGCCGTGGTCATCTAGCATGTAGTGTGTCGGTTATAAACAACATCGTGCGGTGTGTACCGGTTATATCGCTTGTTTTGATTTGAAAACCATTTGCCATGCGATGTTGGGACCAGTCATTCACATCACTGAATTCATTGATTGAAAAATGTGACCGGCCAACTGAGTAATGACTCGTAAACATTGTAGTATTTTGACATTTGCTTTCTTACCCAAAGCCTTGTCGTCTGCTAATATTGGCAATATTTTTTAACCAGAGTTCTGTGGTGTTGACTGACCCGATCAGAAAAGCCCCTCCCCCTCCTGTGAATGTTTGACACTTTGATTGAAACAACCTGGCTCCAGCAATGCCAAATGTTAATGTTCCCTCCTCCTTCTGTTCTATCTTGTAGTTGTCTGAGAATACGGGCAGTGGGTATAGAACGGGAACAGCCGGATGCTTAGATTGTTTCCTTTGCTTTGAAAGCTCAGAGCACTGGTTGACATTCCAAAGTTTGTGGTCTTAATTCTTTATTTGTAAATAATAATAGTAACAGTATAATACAGATTATTCAATACAGAAACAGTATAGTGACTGTACTATCACTATACATATACATACATATGTGTGTATGAACCTTTAATTGCCCATGCACTGCACTACTTGACCTATACATACATTTTACTGATTTAAAACTCAACATAGCACATCAGGCATAGACCCATAGATACTCTGTCTTCGTCAGCAAACATCTTAAGCTATAGATCAGGGCTGTTGAACTAAGTTTATTCAGGGGCCGCACTTTCAAAAATAAATTGTCAAGTGCCAGTTGATTTGATTTCTTTGCCATATAGTTTTCCTGTCAGTGTTGTATAGTTTCTGCACAATTTCACTCATTTTTTCTTAATTGTTAATAATTAGGTTTAGCACTTTTGCATTGACACACATGTTCCAGCCACTACGCTTTTGTAGCCAAATTCAAGGACACTTACTGTCCTGTTTTCAAGTATCAAGGGAGATAACTTTAATTTTTTTTGTGGAAACTAATTCTTTGTGATGCATAAAGAAATGTAGGTTCTAAAGGGAGTAACTTCAGTGACTGTTAGTTAACCTTTAGTGATTGTAGCATTAATTATTAGAAATACATAGAAACCTTGTTGTAAATTGCATAGTAAACCTAGACATTGCATCCCTATTGAGATCTGAAAATGTCATCAATCTGCTAGTGCCATTTTGAAGGTGGCCTTGTGACAGACATAACAAGACGCGTCGATTTTCAGTTATATCTAATCGTTACTTAGTCACATTTGCACAATTATTTTTCAATCATACAACTAACATAGGTGGTTTCCACTTCAAAAATGAAAGCCAGCTGTATTCATTCAAGGCTCTATCTACGTCAGTTGCAAGTCTAGATATTCATTGTTGAGCTAATTGCAAGTCTAGATATTCATTGTTGAGCTAGTTGCAAGTCTAGATATTCATTGTTGAGCTAGTTGCAAGTCTAGATATTCATTGTTGAGCTAGTTGCAAGTCTAGATATTCATTGTTGAGCTAGTTGCAAGTCTAGATATTCATTGTTGAGCTAGTTGCAAGTCTAGATATTCATTGTTGAGCTAGTTGCAAGTCTAGATATTCATTGTTGAGCTAAGTCATTGGAGAATACAGAGAATTTTTTCCAGCAGTCAGAACATACATTTGAACACTTTCAATTGCTATTTGTTTTCCTGGTCATGCAGCATAGCACCCACATATCACATCACTATGTTCACGACAATAACAGATGACAGCATTATTGATTCAATATTTCTTCCTCATACATATTAAAACTGCCATCATGTCCGTGCTACACCTATGATTTAGGAAAAAATATTCAAGACATTTTTTTAACTCAACTAGTTTAAACTTTTCAAATACAATTTCTTTGTAATTACCATTACTTGGTGTGTGTGTGTTTTTTGTAGGGCGGGTGAGGGGGGGGGCAAATCTTGTGTAATATACAAAGGCCAAGTGTGTAGTGGATTTTGTCACTACTGTGTTGGCCGTTACGTCTTTCTGCCAGATAAATTGTGGATAGTCATTTTAATGAGATTTATGAGGCTGAAGCAAGCCTGGAGCAGGCGAGTGCCCTTCTGCTGCTAGAGGTTGAACCGGCACCACTGTCTTGATTGCGAGTGTTTGGACACATAAGGTCAGAGTTCACATGTCATTATAACATGATATGTTTGAGCAGTAGTCTCCCCAGTCAGATCTGGTTGTAGTGTCTGTAACAGTCTGGGTGTAACAGTTCACTTGATATCTCAGTTAGAACCACGTAGGATAACAACATCTCTCTCCTTTACAGGTTGGGGAAATATGATGGACACATCTGCAGTCAAAGAAACCAGTGTGAAAACTGTACTGCCATCCAGAAGAAGTGTACGACAGTCACTGCGTAACAAGAAATGTATGTATATGACATTTGCTTCATCCCTTTCCTGTGTTGGACACTGATTTCAGTTGCATGTTCCATTTGTAGCTCAAATTGACAGTTTTAATTGTATTTAATTTTTCCTAAAGTGTATTTTTTATTGTGGTTTGACCCACATTGAACCTTCTCACTTGAAACATCACAAACAACAAGCAGCTGTCAGACTGGCTGGTGACACAACTAGCATTTTTTGAGTTGCAATAGGAAAAAAGACAGTTGCATTTCCTTCCCATTTCTGTTCAGTTTTCTGCACAGAGCTAAAATGAGAAATGCCACAAATTATTCTTTTTTTTTTTTTTCAAGTATGATCCATTGAGAAATGGTGGGGGAGCCATGCTTGTGCAGTAACTAACCTATCAGCTGGGTGGTCACAGGTTTGGATCTCCGTCAGTCGGCTGACCTGCCTTACTGGGTCCACACAGCCTCAATTGGGTACCAGGATTGTGCTAGAAACTGAAGCTGGTTGACCACCAGAGAAGGTGACCACAAGAGAAGTTGGCCACAACTGGCCCTAGAATGTAGACAGTAAAGAGTATGGAAAGTCTGTGCAACATCATCAGCAACATGTGGGGATCAAACAGTGATAGAAACCTCTCTGTCATCATTCTGCCCTGCCATTATACATCACAGAGGGATTACAGCCTAGTCCTCTGTTCTCTTGTGACTTGTTCAATCCCTTTGGGTTCACCTCATGACAGAATAGTTAGGACACTGCCCCCACCCCACAACCACCTCCATAATCCATAGTGACACCAACAATTACTTCTTCTTTTTCTTCTTCTTCTCCACCCATTTTCAGCTCAAAATTATATGGTATGTCCCGTTTTCAGTCCAATTAATTCTGGTCACCTTACATAGAAATTATGCAGGGAAAAAAGGGCCTTAGTTTGAATAACAGAGAAACATAAGCTACAACAGTGACTACTTACATTTTAACTTGTTAATGTTCACATAATCCATGTCAAATATTGAAATAATATCCGCACATATTTCAAGTGTTCAAGTAAAAACCAGCAGTTGGATTAATTTTTGCCAACCCAACTACACAGGTGTGTTGACCAGCGCATCCCGGCTAACTGCATCTGTTGCTAGGCCTGCTAAACTTAAGTAGGTTCCTGACTGTCTTGATGTCTATCCATAGATCTGAGATCTATCCATTGATGTGAGATCTATCCATAAATCACCTAAAATGATTCCCACAGTTAGATTGATTATCCCCTGCTCCCTTTCCACCAATCTTTGTAATTGAAGATAGTTGTGTCAGTATTTTATATTGTATGTGCTGATTCATTCGGCATTTTACTTGATCTTCACTAAACATATAGGTAAAACTAAAGGTGCAAGAGTTTTGGGCCGCATGGTTGCCTGTATCATAGTGTCTGTGCCACACACAGAGGCTGAGGAGGAAAGAATTGTAGTTCATATGGTTGCTACTATTATTTTATTTCCTTATGACATCATTGGATAATCCTGATTTATCCCTTCTGTTCTCCCGATTTCCCAGACAAATTCGATCCATCTGATCTGAAGCCTAAACCTCGAACGTCTAGTCTCACATCTGCTGCATGTAAGATCAATGGGACAATCAGTGAAGACTCGTCAGCAAGCAAGTCGAGCGACTCCTCCCTGAAATCTACCAGTGGTCCAACGAATGGTTTGCCTTCAGTTGCTGCCTCCAACTCTGTTCAGAAAACTGGCAACAAACAGCGTCTGACCAAAGTGTTTACCAAGACTGGCATTAAATTTAGCATGAAGGTAAATTCTAGTTTATCTCTGTAGAGAATTTGTCTTATTCTAGTTTACATCTGTAGAGAATTTGTCTTATTCTAGTTTACATCTGTAGAGCATTTGTCTTATTCTAGTTTACATCTGTAGAACATTTGTCTTATTCTAGTTTACATCTGTAGAGAATTTGTCTTATTCTAGTTTACATCTGTAGAACATTTGTCTTATTCTAGTTTACATCTGTAGAGCATTTGTCTTATTCTAGTTTACATCTGTAGAGCAATTGTCTTATTCTAGTTTACATCTGTAGAGCAATTGTCTTATTCTAGTTTACATCTGTAGAGCAATTGTCTTATTCTAGTTTACATCTGTAGAACATTTGTCTTATTCTAGTTTACATCTGTAGAGCATTTGTCTTATTCTAGTTTACATCTGTAGAGCATTTGTCTTATTCTAGTTTACATCTGTAGAGCATTTGTCTTATTCTAGTTTACATCTGTAGAGAATTTGTCTTATTCTAGTTTACATCTGTAGAGCATTTGTCTTATTCTAGTTTACATCTGTAGAAGGAGTGTCTTATTCTAGTTTACATCTGTAGAGCATTTGTCATTCTAGTTTACATCTGTAGAGAATTTGTCTTATTCTAGTTTACATCTGTAGAGAATGTGTCTTATTCTAGTTTGACATAGAACATGTGTCTTATTCTAGTTTACATCTGAAGAACATGTGTCTTATTCTAGTTTAATCTGACAGAAGGATGTGTCAGGAGTGGTAGTTTTACATCTGTAGAGAATTTGTCTTATTCTAGTTTACATCTGTAGAACATTTGTTTTAGGGAGTGACATCTGTAGAGAATGTGTCTTATTCTAGTTTACATCTGTAAGGAGTGTGTCAGGGATGGTGACTAGTTTACATCTGTAGAAGGGAGTGAAGTCTTATTCTAGTTTACAGGGAGTGTAGACATTTGTCTTATTCTGCAGGGAGTGAAGACATCTGTGTGCAGGGAGCAATTGGGGGGGAAGAGGGTGGGTGATGTGGGAAAAGGGGAGGGTGCAGGAGTGATTTCATGGAAGGAGTGTGCAGGGAGTGAAGACAGGAGGAGTGTGCAGAGAGTGGTGACAAAGGAGGAGTGTGCAGGGAGTGAAGACAGGAGGAGTGTGCAGGGAGTGGTGACATAGAAGGAGTGTGCAGGGAGTGAAGACAGGAGGAGTGTGCAGGGAGTGGTGACATAGAAGGAGTGTGCAGGGAGTGAAGACAGGAGGAGTGTGCAGGGAGTGGTGACATAGAAGGAGTGTGCAGGGAGTGGTGACATAGGAGGAGTGTGATCTGGCACATCTGCTGGACATCAGTCTTGTCCAGACTTAATGGTGGTCTGGTATGTCTGCTGGATATCTTTGTCTTGTCCAGACTTAATGGTGGTCTGGTACGTATGCTGGACATCATTGGCTTGTCCAGACTTAATGGTGGTCTGGTATGTATGCTGGACATCATTGGCCTGTCTAGACTTAATGGTGGTCTGGTACATCTGCTGGGCATCATTGGCCTGTCCATACTTAATGGTGGTCTGGTACGTATGCTGGACATCATTGGCCTGTCCAGACTTAATGGTGGTCTGATACGTATGCTGGACATCATTGGCTTGTCCAGACTTAATGGTGGTCTGGTACATCTGCTGGACTTCATTGGCTTGTCCAGACTTAATGGTGGTCTGGTATGTCTGCTGGACATCATTGGCTTGTCCAGACTTAATGGTGGTCTGGTACATATGCTGGACATCATTGGCTTGTCCAGACTTAAATGATGGTCTGGTATGTATGCTGGACTTTATTGGCTTGTCCAAGCCTATTGATGGTTTAGTACATCTGGCTGAATTAGTGCTCACTTTCAGCTCTTTCGACCAGATCAGCCAAGATGAGACCCAGCTATGACTGCCTCTTCATGGGTGAGCTCAAGCATTGGATGCCTCATGCATACACCAACACTCCCCAAGCTCTTCTACGTCAGGTGTATTGATAACTGTATCAGTGTCTCCAATATTGTCTCCTTGGATTCTACAGGACCTCAACACTTCAATGTACAATAAGCTTACTGATTCTTCCCATGCTTTTCTTCTCTACACATCCTCTCATCCCTCTTCCTGCAAGGACTCTGTTCCTTTCTCCCAGCTTCTATATCTCCGTAGACAATGTCAGGAAAACAACAGCTTCCACCATGTGGCCCTGGAAATACTGGACTTTTTCTGGCTTTGAAGTTACCCTGAACATGTCTTTTCTGCTGCCGATCACAGTTTATCAATCGTGCTGAGGCCGTTTTCCAAGCCTAAACATCACCACAACCTATCCACACACTTACCTACCACCCTCACAACATTCATGCCAAAAACATTCTCCTGGATACATTTCTCCATCCTAAGGACTGACCCTGTCAACCAGCACCATTTTCTCTGAATTTGCTTAGTGGTCAACAGACATGACTATGTCAGGATCATAGGCCAGGATGGTTTCATCATGGAGCCTGTCCCCCAATCCTGGATGGCTTCATCATGGAGCCTGTCACCCAATCCAGGATGGCTTCATCATGGAGCCTGTCACCCAATCTAGGATGGCTTCATCGTGGAGACTGTCACCCAATCTAGGATGGTTTCATCATGGAGACTGTCACCCAATCTAGGATGGTTTCATCATGGAGCCTGTCACCCAATCCAGGATGGTTTCATCATGGAGCCTGTCACCCAATCTAGGATGGTTTCATCATGGAGCCTGTCACCCAATCTAGGATGGTTTCATCATGGAGACTGTCACCCAATCTAGGATGGTTTCATCATGGAGACTGTCACCCAATCCTGGATGGTTTCATCATAGAGACTGTCACCCAATCCAGGATGGTTTCATCATGGAGCCTGTCACCCAATCTGGGATGGTTTCATCATGGAGCCTGTCACCCAATCCAGGATGGTTTCATCATAGAGACTGTCACCCAATCTAGGATGGTTTCATCATGGAGACTGTCACCCAATCTAGGATGGTTTCATCATGGAGCCTGTCACCCAATCTAGGATGGTTTCATCATGGAGACTGTCACCCAATCCAGGATGGTTTCATCATGGAGACTGTCACCCAATCCAGGATGGTTTCATCATGGAGACTGTCACCCAATCCAGGATGGTTTCATCATGGAGACTGTCACCCAATCTAGGATGGCTTCATCATGGAGACTGTCACCCAATGGCAGAAACACATAGCACCCTCACCCAGAAACATCTGCTGGGAAAACTGAGTACTCATTGACTTAACCTGAGTGCAGTTTGTTACTTGTTTATTATAATGATCATTCAGTATCAGTGAACATGATGGTCTGAACTATAACAGCATACAGCCCTGGTTTGTCAGGCACAAGCTAGGCATCCATTGAGTGGCTGTTGTAATGATTGGAGCCTGTGTGTGTGGTAGCTAACAGTGGCCGTGTCTGTATCCTACAGCCTCGCAAGCGTAGCGGCAAGAGGTCCAAATCAGTGGCTGCACAGATTGAGCAGACAAAGGAAGGATGCATTGACATGACTCCCGATTCAATTTTGTGTAAAACCAATCTCAAGGTAAGCTGTTTCAGTGTGTGTCAGTGTTTAACATTTATCACATTCTGCCATTTTCTCTCCAATCTCACAATTCTCTGATTCTCCAGAATCTCTGATTGTCCTTGCTCATATATTTTACCCAGTGTCTCTTTTTTGCTGCATGTGGCCAGGTTTGTCAAGTGTCTCAAATTTCAGCCATCTCTGGCAGATTTCTTGCCTCTGTTTCGGTGCAGGACTGGTTGTTGCATTCTTTCAAAATATGTTATTTGACTGCCCACATTTTCATATTGTCACCAGACAACCTGGCCACGTCTGATGTGTGTCTTGCCAAACAACATAGACACACAGGTCTCTCCTCACACCAGGCCATGTCTGATCTGTGTCTTACCCAACAACATAAACACACAGGTTTCTCCTCACACCTGGCCATGTCTGATCTGTGTCTTACCCAACAACATAAACACACAGGTCTCTCCTCACACCAGGCCATGTCTGATCTGTGTCTTACCCAACAACATAAACACACAGGTTTCTCCTCGCACCTGGCCATGTCTGATCTGTGTCTTACCCAACAACATAAACACACAGGTTTCTCCTCACACTAGGCCACGTCTGATCTGTGTCTTACCCAACAACATAAACACACAGGTCTCTCCTCACACCAGGCCATGTCTGATGTGTGTCTTACCCAACAACATAGACACACAGGTCTCTCCTCACATCTGGCCATGTCTGATCTGTGTCTTACCCAACAACATAAACACACACTTCTCTCCTCACACCTGGCCATGTCTGATGTGTGTCTTGCCTAACAACATAGACACACAGGTCTCTCCTCACACCAGGCCATGTCTGATGTGTGTCTTACCCAACAACATAGACACACAGGTCTCTCCTCACACCTGGCCATGTCTGATGTGTGTCTTGCCTAACAACATAGACACACAGGTCTCTCCTCACACCTGGCCATGTCTGATGTGTGTCTTGCCTAACAACATAGACACACAGGTCTCTCCTCACACCAGGCCATGTCTGATGTGTGTCTTACCCAACAACATAGACACACAGGTCTCTCCTCACACCTGGCCATGTCTGATCTGTGTCTTACCCAACAACATAGACACATAGGTCTCTCCTCACACCAGGCCATGTCTGATCTGTGTCTTACCCAACAACATAGACACACAGGTCTCTCCTCACACCAGGCCACGTCTGATGTGTGTCTTACCCAACAACATAGACACACAGGTCTCTCCTCACACCAGGCCACGTCTGATGTGTGTCTTACCCAACAACATAGACACACAGGTCTCTCCTCACACCCGGCCACGTCTGATGTGTGTCTTACCCAACAACATAGACACACAGGTCTCTCCTCACACCAGGCCACGTCTGATGTGTGTCTTACCCAACAACATAGACACACAGGTCTCTCCTCACACCAGGTCATGTCTGATGTGTGTCTTACCCAACAACATAGACACACAGGTCTCTCCTCACACCTGGCCACGTCTGATGTGTGTCTTGCCCAACAACATAGACAAACAGGTCTCTCCTCACACCAGGCCACGTCTGATGTGTGTCTTACCCAACAACATAGACACACAGGTCTCTCCTCACACCAGGTCATGTCTGATGTGTGTCTTACCCAACAACATAAACAAACAGGTCTCTCCTCACACCTTGAATTTTTTCATCGACTTTCCTGCATGCTATCCTTTGAGTCCATCATCATTTCTCTGTCTGCCTCTGTCTCTTCAGCTGAGCTTAACAGTTGTCACAATCTTTTCCCTTGCTTGAACATACTATAACATACAACTTTGTTTTGATCTACAGACATTGTTAGACTATAACATACAACTTTGTTTTGATCTACAGACATTGTTAGACTATAACATACACCTTTGTTTCGATCTACAGACATTGTTAGACTATAACATACAACTTTCTGTCAATCTCAGACATTGTTAAACCAAACATACTACGTTGTATCAATCTACAGACATTATTAAGCTATATCATACTACGTTGTATCAATCTACAGACATTATTAGCCCGGCTCTCTAGTGTAGTTGGCTAAACCGGATTGCGCGAAGACAGGGTGACGAACTCCTTGTGTTCTGGGTTCAATCCCAGGAGTAGGCAGGAAAGCCACATTTCTTCCAGATTTCTGTCTGCCTCTGTCTCTTCAGCTGAGCTTAACAGTTGTCACAATCTTTTCCCTTGCTTGTCTTCTTATTAAATGATGACATAACACTGTCACTTTCTTATTGTTGTCTGTTCTGTTCTACGAGCAAGCAACCAATCAGTAGGATACCATTTTCTTGTTGTTGTGTGTATGTCAGCATGCAGACATTGTTAGACTATAACATACAACTTTCTATCGATCTCAGACATTGTTAAACCAAACATACTACGTTGTATCAATCTACAGACATTATTAAGCTATATCATACTACTTTGTATCAATCTACAGACATTATTAAGCTATATCATACTACATTGTATCAATCTACAGACATTATTAAGCAATATCATACTACGTTGTATCAATCTACAAACATTATTAAGCTATATCATACTACTTTTTATCAATCTACATACATTGTTAAACCAAACATACTACGTTGTATCAATCTACAGACATTATTAAGCTATATCATACTACTTTGTATCAATCTACATACATTGTTAACCAAACATACTACGTTGTATCAATCTACAGACATTATTAAGCTGTATCATACTACTTTGTATCAATCTACATACATTGTTAAACCAAACATACTACGTTGTATCAATCTACAGACATTATTAAGCTATATCATACTACTTTGTTTCAATCTACATACATTGTTAAACCAAACATACTACGTTGTATCAATCTACAGATATTATTAAGCGATATCATACTACTTTGTATCAATCTACATACATTGTTAAACCAAACATACTACGTTGTATCAATCTACAGACATTATTAAGCTATATCATACTACTTTGTATCAATCTACAGACATTATTAAGCTATATCATACTACTTTGTATCAATCTACATACATTGTTAAACCAAACATACTACATTGTATCAATCTACAGACATTATTAAGCTATATCATACTACATTATATCAATCAACAGACATTATTAAGCTATATCATACTACTTTGTATCCATCTACAAACATTATTAAGCTATATCATACTACGTTGTATCAATCTACAGACATTGTTAAGCTATATCAAACTACTTTATTTTCAATCTACAGACATTGTTAAATTACAACACGTTCAGTAGGCTGACCAGCGCCTACCAGCACAAACTGGTCACCTTGCTGCCGCAGTGTGATCAGATACCTGGCCAGGAGGCCGGAGATCTCAGGTCAGAGTTCAAGTAGCTTGTTACCTGTTGGCAACGGCTTCTGTGTGTTAGTTCTCATGTACATTGATGTGTAGTTTAAAACACAAACAGATGTGTACATGTATATAGTCTCTCTGTGTACTGTGTGTGTCTGACCACAGTAATTACTTGTGGACAACCATACAGCTGAGCATTTCTGGTTTGGTTCAGCGACCTGACCCAAACCTTGAGTTAGTCAAATACTGGGCACTGACCCAGGGGCCCCACCCAACCCTCAGCCCCAAGGTTCACAATAATGCTGCTGGACAGTTTATGTGAGGGATATAATATTGAGCAAAGGTCTAAGCCATGATCTGTGGATGTTTGATCCAGTTGCTGTCTATGCAGACACCTTGCAGTTATGTGTATATTACTTCCAGGGTGCCCCACACTTTTATCCTGCGACATTTCTTGAGTATTTTGTTGTTAATTAAGTGTTTTAGTAGTGTTTATATGTTGATTTTTTTGTTTTGTTTTTTAATGATGTTTGTACAGGCTGTTTCTCTGAAGGATCATCAGATAATTTGTTTATCTGCCTTGTGTCAAGAATCTACAGAAGAATCAGCACAAATAGCTGCTAGGAAGACAGTGAGTGGACTGTTACAGCAGAACTAGCACAACTAGCTGCTAGGAAGACAGTAAATGGTCTGTTACAGCAGAACTAGCACAACTAGCTGCTAGGAAGACAGTAAATGGTCTGTTACAGCAGAACTACCACACATTGCTGCTAAAAGAGAGTGAGTGCCCTGGTACAGCAGAACTAGCACAAATTGCTGCTAGGAAGACAGTAAATGGTCTGTTACAGCAGAACTAGCACACATTGCTGCTAAAAGAGAGTGAGTGCCCTGGTACAGCAGAGCTAGCACAAATTGCTGCTAGGAAGACAGTGAATGGCCTGTTACAGCAGAACTAGCACAAATTGCTGCTAGGAAGACAGTGAGTGCCCTGTTACAGCAGAACTAGCACAAATAGCTGCTAAAAGACAGTGAGTGCCCTGTTACAGCAGAACTAGCACAAATAGCTGCTAGGAAGACAGTGAATTGCCTGTTGCAGCAGAACTAGCACAAATAGCTGCTAGGAAGACAGTGAAATGCCTGTTGCAGCAGAACTAGCACAAATTGCTGCTAGGAAGACAGTGAATGGTCTGTTACAGCAGAACTAGCACAAATTGCTGCTAGGAAGACAGTGAATGGTCTGTTACAGCAGAACTAGCACAAATTGCTGCTAGGAAGACAGTGAATTGCCTGTTACAGCAGAACTAGCACAACTAGCTGCTAGGCAGACAGTAAATGGTCTGTTACAGCAGAACTAGCACAAATTGCTGCTAGGAAGACAGTGAGTGGTCTGTTAAAGCAGAACTAGCACAACTAGCTGCTAGGAAGACAAATTGCTGCTAAACAGTGATCTGGTTACAGCAGAACTAGCACAACTAGCTGCTAGGAAGACAGTAAATGGTCTGTTACAGCAGAACTAGCACAAATTGCTGCTAGGAAGACAGTGAGTGGTCTGTTACAGCAGAACTAGCACAAATTGTTGCTAGGAAGACAGTAAATGGTCTGTTACAGCAGAACTAGCACAAATTGCTGCTAGGAAGACAGTGAGTGGTCTGTTACAGCAGAACTAGCACAAATTGTTGCTAGGAAGACAGTAAATGGTCTGTTACAGCAGAACTAGCACACATTGTTGCTAGGAAGACAGTAAATGGTCTGTTACAGCAGAACTAGCACAAATTGTTGCTAGAAGACAGCAAATGGTCTGTTACAGCAGAACTAGCACAACATTGTTGCTAGGAAGACAGTAAATGGTCTGTTACAGCAGAACTAGCACAAATTGTTGCTAGGAAGACAGTAAATGGTCTGTTACAGCAGAACTAGCACAAATTGTTGCTAGGAAGACAGTAAATGGTCTGTTACAGCAGAACTAGCACAAATTGCTGCTAGGAAGACAGTAAATGGTCTGTTACAACAGAACTAGCACAAATTGCTGCTAGGAAGACAGTAAATGGTCTGTTTTTTACAACAGAACTAGCACAAAATGGCAGAACTAAGCACAAAGAACTAGCACAAATTGCTAGGAAGACAGTAAATGGTCTGTTACAACAGAACTAGCACAAATTGCTGCTAGGAAGACAGTGAATGGTCTGTTACAACAGAACTAGCACAAATTGCTGCTAGGAAGACAGTAAATGGTCTGTTACAGCAGAACTAGCACAAATTGCTGCTAGGAAGGGTCTGTTAGAGTGAATGGTCTGTTACAAGAGAAACTAGCACAAATTGCTGCTAGGAAGACAGTAAATGGTCTGTTACAGCAGAACTAGCACAACTAGCTGCTAGAAGACAGTAAATGGTCTGTTACAGCAGAACTAGCACAAATTGCTGCTAAAAGAGAGTGAGTGCCCTGGTACAGCAGAACTAGCACAAATTTGCTGCTAGGAAGACAGTAAATGGTCACAGCAGAACTAGCACAAATTGCTGCTAGGAAGACAGTAATGGTCTGTTACAGCAGAACTAGCACACATTGCTGCTAAAAAGAGAGTGAGTGCCCTGGTACAGCAGAACTAGCACAAATTGCTGCTAGGAAGACAGTAAATGGTCTGTTACAGCAGAACTAGCACAAATTGCTGCTAGGAAGACAGTAAATGGTCTGTTACAGCAGAACTAGCACAAATTGCTGCTAGGAAGACAGTAAATGGTCTGTTACAGCAGAACTAGCACAAATTGCTGCTAGGAAGACAGTAAATGGTCTGTTACAGCAGAACTAGCACAAATTGCTGCTAGGAAGACAGTAAATGGTCTGTTACAGCAGAACTAGCACAAATTGCTGCTAGGAAGACAGTAAATGGTCTGTTACAGCAGAACTAGCACAAATTGCTGCTAGGAAGACAGTAAATGGTCTGTTACAGCAGAACTAGCACAACTAGCTGCTAGGAAGACAGTAAATGGTCTGTTACAGCAGAACTAGCACAACTAGCTGCTAGGAAGACAGTAAATGGTCTGTTACAGCAGAACTAGCACAACTAGCTGCTAGGAAGACAGTGAGTGGTCTGTTACAGCAGAACTAGCACAACTAGCTGCTAGGAAGACAGTAAATGGTCTGTTACAGCAGAACTAGCACAACTAGCTGCTAGGAAGACAGTGAATTGCCTGTTACAGCAGAACTAGCACAACTAGCTGCTAGGAAGACAGTAAATGGTCTGTTACAGCAGAACTAGCACAAATTGCTGCTAGGAAGACAGTAAATGGTCTGTTACAGCAGAACTAGCACAACTAGCTGCTAGGAAGACAGTAAATGGTCTGTTACAGCAGAACTAGCACAAATTGCTGCTAGGAAGACAGTAAATGGTCTGTTACAGCAGAACTAGCACACATTGCTGCTAAAAGAGAGTGAGTGCCCTGGTACAGCAGAACTAGCACAAATTGCTGCTAGGAAGACAGTAAATGGTCTGTTACAGCAGAACTAGCACAAATTGCTGCTAGGAAGACAGTAAATGGTCTGTTACAGCAGAACTAGCACAAATTGCTGCTAGGAAGACAGTAAATGGGTCTGTTACAGCAGAACTAGCACAAATTGCTGCTAGGAAGACAGTAAATGTGTCTGTTACAGCAGAACTAGCACAAATTGCTGCTAGGAAGACAGTAAATGGTCTGTTACAGCAGAACTAGCACAAATTGCTGCTAGGAAGACAGTAAATGGTCTGTTACAGCAGAACTAGCACAAATTGCTGCTAGGAAGACAGTAAATGGTCTGTTACAGCAGAACTAGCACAAATTGCTGCTAGGAAGACAGTAAATGGTCTGTTACAGCAGAACTAGCACAACTAGCTGCTAGGAAGACAGTAAATGGTCTGTTACAACAGAACTAGCACACATTGCTGCTAAAAGAGAGTGAGTGCCCTGGTACAGCAGAACTAGCACAAATTGCTGCTAGGAAGACAGTAAATGGTGTTACGCATAACTAGCTGTACAGCAGAACTAGCACAACTAGCTGCTAGGAAGACAGTAAATGGTCTGTTACAACAGAACTAGCACACATTGCTGCTAAAAGAGAGTGAGTGCCCTGGTACAGCAGAACTAGCACAAATTGCTGCTAGGAAGACAGTGAATGGCCTGTTACAGCAGAACTAGCACAAATAGCTGCTAGGAAGACAGTGAGTGCCCTGTTACAGCAGAACTAGCACAAATAGCTCCTAAAAGACAGTGAGTGCCCTGTTACAGCAGAACTAGCACAAATAGCTGCTAGGAAGACAGTTAATTGCCTGTTGCAGCAGAACTAGCACAAATTGCTGCTAGGAAGACAGTGAATGGTCTGTTGCAGCAGAACTAGCACAAATTGCTGCTAGGAAGACAGTGAATGGTCTGTTACAGCAGAACTAGCACAAATTGCTGCTAGGAAGACAGTGAATGGTCTGTTACAGCAGAACTAGCACAAATTGCTGCTAGGAAGACCATGAACCACTTGGAAATGGGTAATGAGGACAAACATGCAGAAACAGGCTACAAGATAATGATAGAAGACATGCCAATATACTCCCGCTGGGTACAAGAACATGGAGACACAGAGATGGCTGCTTCATTGGAGAATGGAGCATGAATGGGTCGGGCTGATATGCCAGGATGTCAGTACGGGTAACAAGTATTTCAGCCAGAGCTGCAGCTAAAGAATCAAGTGATTCTTCACTTACATGAGCGCATGCATACACATACACACACATATATCAAGGTAATTCACTTAAGGCAAAAACAAAGGCAGCAGTTTAAATAGAGCAGTGAAAATAGCTGATTACCAAATGAGTGTAGCCTATCACATTTCTCACTGACCTCCACAGGTTGAGTGTCACGGCTCTCAGCAACGAGTTCTTCACCAAGGCTTGTGGAGAATGGACAGAAAGACTCTCAGAAGGTACCGTTTTTTTTTTCTTTCTGCTTTTTTGTGTCTTTTTTTGTCTTTCAGTAGGTTTTCAGAAACTGGGTTTTTCTGCAGAAGAAGGAACAAGTTGTACAATGTTTACATTTTTTATATTGGTGGAAGCAGTCAGATGGATGCTAGATGGACTGTTTGTTATACTAGTGGAAGTGTTCAGATGGATGCTAGATGGACTGTTTGTTATACTAGTGGAAGCATTCAGATGGATTCTAAATGGCCTGTTTGTTATACTAGTGGAAGCATTCAGATGGATGCTAGATGGACTGTTTGTTATACTAGTGGAAGCATTCAGATGGATGCTAGATGGACTGTTTGTTATACTAGTGGAAGCATTCAGATGGATGTTAGATGGACTGTTTGTTATACTAGTGGAAGCATTTAGATGGAAGCCAGATGGACTGTTTATTATACTAGTGGAAGCGTTCAGATGGATGCTAGATGGACTGTTTGTTATACTAGTGGAAGCATTCAGATGGACTGTTTGTTTTACTAGTGGAAGCATTCAGATGGATGCTAGATGGACTGTATGTTATACTATTGGAAGCATTCAGATAAATGCTAGATGGACTGTTTGTTATACTAGTGGAAGCATTCAGATGGATGCTAGATGGACTGTTTGTTATACTAGTGGAAGCGTTCAGATGGATGCTAGATGGACTGTTTGTTATACTAGTGGAAGCATTCAGATGGATGCTAGATGGACTGTTTGTTATACTAGTGGAAGCATTCAGATGGATGCTAGATGGCCTGTTCTTATGTTTCATAGGCTCTTCTGGAGCTGCTTGTGAGCAGTGGCTTGACCCTTGTCTTGTAGCATGGGGCTTTCCAGAGCTGCACAACTTACAGTGACTCAAACAATGTCTCTGTATACAAGAATGCCATCTTGTATTGTGTGTAGCACTGTGGTGTAGGGGAGAGCAGTAGGTCAGCAGTATAGTGTTGATCTGTGATACCAGTGATTTGTTGTTAACACTGTGGTGTAGGGGAGAGCAGTAGGTCAGCAGTATAGTGTTGATCTGTGATACCAGTGATTTGTTGTTAACACTGTGGTGTAGGGGAGAGCAGTAGGTCAGCAGTATAGTGTTGATCTGTGATACCAGTGATTTGTTGTTAACACTGTGGTGTAGGGGAGAGCAGTAGGTCAGCAGTATAGTGTTGATCTGTGATACCAGTGATTTGTTGTTAACACTGTGGTGTAGGGGAGAGCAGTAGGTCAGCAGTATAGTGTTGATCTGTGATACCAGTGATTTGTTGTTGGTGTAACACAGTGTGGATGTAGGGATTTGTTTGAACACAGTAGGTCAGCAGTAGGTCAGCAGTAGTGTTGATCTGTGATACCAGTGATTTGTTGTTAACACTGTGGTGTAGGGGAGAGCAGTAGGTCAGCAGTATAGTGTTGATCTGTGATACCAGTGATTTGTTGTTAACACTGTGGTGTAGGGGAGAGCAGTAGGTCAGCAGTATAGTGTTGATCTGTGATACCAGTGATTTGTTGTTAACACTGTGGTGTGTAGTAGGAGATAGACCAGTTAGTAGGTCAGCAGTATAGTGTTTGATCTGTGATACCAGTGATTTGTTGTTAACACTGTGGTGTAGGGGAGAGCAGTAGGTCAGCAGTATAGTGTTGATCTGTGATACCCAGTGATTTGTTGTTAACACTGTGGTGTAGGGGAGAGCAGTAGGTCAGCAGTATAGTGTTGATCTGTGGATACCAGTGATTTGTTGTTAACACTGTGGTGTAGGGGAGAGCAGTAGGTCAGCAGTATAGTGTTGATCTGTGATACCAGTGATTTGTTGTTAACACTGTGGTGTAGGGGAGAGCAGTAGGTCAGCAGTATAGTGTTGATCTGTGATACCAGTGATTTGTTGTTAACACTGTGGTGTAGGGGAGAGCAGTAGGTCAGCAGTATAGTGTTGAAGTGTTGATCTGTGATACCAGTGATTTGTTGTTAACACTGTGGTGTAGGGGAGAGCAGTAGGTCAGCAGTATAGTGTTGATCTGTGATACCAGTGATTTGTTGTTAACACTGTGGTGTAGGGGAGAGCAGTAGGTCAGCAGTATAGTGTTGATCTGTGATACCAGTGATTTGTTTGTTAACACTGTGGTTGTAGGGGAGAGCAGTAGGTCAGCAGTATAGTGTTGAAGTGTTGATCTGTGATACCAGTGATTTGTTGTTGTTAACACTGTGGTGTAGGGGAGAGCAGTAGGTCAGCAGTATAGTGTTGATCTGTGATCTTTTGACCAGTGATTTGTTGTTGTTAACACTGTGGTGTAGGGGAGAGCAGTAGGTCAGCAGTATAGTGTTGAAGTGTTGATCTGTGATACCAGTGATTTGTTGTTAACACTGTGGTGTAGGGGAGAGCAGTAGGTCAGCAGTATAGTGTTGAAGTGTTGATCTGTGATACCAGTGATTTGTTGTTAACACTGTGGTGTAGGGGAGAGCAGTAGGTCAGCAGTATAGTGTTGATCTGTGATACCAGTGATTTGTTGTTAAACACTGTGGTGTAGGGGAGAGCAGTAGGTCAGCAGTATAGTGTTGAAGTGTGATCTGTGATACCAGTGATTTGTTGTTAACACTGTGGTGTAGGGGAGAGCAGTAGGTCAGCAGTATAGTGTTGAAGTGTTGGATCTGTGATACCCAGTGATTTGTTGTTAACACTGTGGTGTAGGGGAGAGCAGTAGGTCAGCAGTATAGTGTTGATCTGTGATACCAGTGATTTGTTGTTAACACTGTGGTGTAGGGGAGAGCAGTAGGTCAGCAGTATAGTGTTGAAGTGTTGATCTGTGATACCAGTGATTTGTTGTTAACACTGTGGTGTAGGGGAGAGCAGTAGGTCAGCAGTATAGTGTTGATCTGTGATACCAGTGATTTGTTGTTAACACTGTGGTGTAGGGAGAGCAGTAGGTCAGCAGTATAGTGTTGATCTGTGATACCAGTGATTTGTTTGTTAACACTGTGGTGTAGGGAGAGCAGTAGGTCAGCAGTATAGTGTTGATCTGTGATACCAGTGATTTGTTGTTAACACTGTGGTGTAGGGGAGAGCAGTAGGTCAGCAGTATAGTGTTGATCTGTGATACCAGTGATTTGTTGTTAACACTGTGGTGTAGGGGAGAGCAGTAGGTCAGCAGTATAGTGTTGATCTGTGATACCAGTGATTTGTTGTTAACACTGTGGTGTAGGGGAGAGCAGTAGGGTCAGCAGTATAGCAGTGAAGTGTTGATCTGTGATACCAGTGAAGTGTTGTTGTGGATACCACTGTGGTGTCTGTGATAGGGGAAGAGTTGTAGTGATAGCAGTGTTGAAGTGTTGATCTGTGATACCAGTGAAGTTGTTGATCTGGGATTGATCAGTGATAGTGAGTGATCTGTGTTGAAGTGTTGATAGTGATACCCATTGAAGTGTTGATCTGTGATACCAGTTGAAGTGTTGATCTGTGATACCAGTGAAAGTGTTGATCTGTGATACCAGTGAAGTGTTGATCTGTGATACCATTGAAGTGTTGATCTGTGATACCAGTGAAGTGTTGATCTGTGATACCAGTGAAGTGTTGATCTGTGATACCAGTGAAGTGTTGATCTGTGATACCATTGAAGTGTTGATCTGTGATACCAGTGAAGTGTTGATCTGTGATACCAGTGAAGTGTTGATCTGTGATACCAGTGAAGTGTTGATCTGTGATACCAGTGAAGTGTTGATCTGTGATACCAGTGAAGTGTTGATCTGTGATACCAGTGAAGTGTTGATCTGTGATACCATTGAAGTGTTGATCTGTGATACCATTGAAGTGTTGATCTGTGATACCAGTGAAGTGTTGATCTGTGATACCAGTGAAGTGTTGATCTGTGATACCAGTGAAGTGTTGATCTGTGATACCAGTGAAGTGTTGATCTGTGATACCAGTGAAGTGTTGATCTGTGATACCAGTGAAGTGTTGATCTGTGATACCAGTGAAGTGTTGATCTGTGATACCAGTGAAGTGTTGATCTGTGATACCAGTGAAGTGTTGATCTGTGATACCAGTGAAGTGTTGATCTGTGATACCCAGTGAAGTGTTGATCTGTGATACCAGTGAAGTGTTGATCTGTGATACCAGTGAAGTGTGTGATCTGTGATACCAGTGAATGTTGATCTGTGATACCAGTGAAGTGTTGATCTGTGATACCAGTGAAGTGTTGATCTGTGATACCAGTGAAGTGTTGATCTGTGATACCAGTGAAGGTTGTGACTGTGGATACCAGTGAAGTGTTGATCTGTGATACCAGTGAAGTGTTGATCTGTGATACCAGTGATTTGTTGTGTTTCAGGAGAGTTTACGGCTGACAGACAACAGCGCCTCAAGGAAGAGAATGGCCAGAACCAGGACAAGATGGACGAGTGGAAGGTCAGTGTCTCAGCTGTCTGACTTTGGTGGCAGTCTTGTCTTGTCTTAGTTCTGACAGAGTACTTGTCCTGGTTGTGCCCTGGGAGCTTTGTAATGGGGAGATGTGTGGACTGGGAGCTTTTGTAGTGGGGAGATGTGTGGACTGAGAGCTTTTGTAGTGGGGAGATGTGTGGACTGAGAGCTTTTGTAGTAGGGAGATGTGTGGACTGAGAGCTTTTGTAGTGGAGAGATGTATGGACTGGGAGCTTTGTAGTGGGGAGATGTGTGGACTGGGAGCTTTGTAGTGGGGAGATGTGTGGGCTCGGAGCTTTTGTAGTAATTAGATGTGTGGACTCGGAGCTTTGTAGTGGGAAGATGTGTGGACTCAGAGCTTTTGTACTGGGGAGATGTGTGGACTAGGAGCTTTGTAGTGGGGAGATGTGTGGGCTCGGAGCTTTTGTAGTAATGAGATGTGTGGACTCGGAGCTTTGTAGTGGGAAGATGTGTGGACTCAGAGCTTTTGTACTGGGGAGATGTGTGGACTAGGAGCTTTGTACTGGAAAGATGTGTGGACTGGGAGCTTTGTGCTGGGGAGATGTGTGGTCTAGGAGCTTTGTGCTGGGGAGATGTGTGGACTAGGAGTGTTTGTGCTGGGGAGATGTGTGGACTAGGAGCTTTGTGTTGGGGAGATGTGTGGACTAGACTGTGTTTTTGTAGCTTTGTAGTGAAAAGAATTTCGGAAGAGGAGCTTAGTAGGGGGAGATGTGTGGACTGGGAGCTTTGTAGTGGGGAGATGTGTGGACTGGGAGCTTTGTAGTAGGGAGATGTGTGTACTGGGGAGATGTGTGGACTAGGAGCTTTGTAATAGGGAGATATGTTGACTCAGAGCTTAGTAGTGGGGAGATGTGTGGACTAGGAGCTTTAGGCTAGGGAGATGTTGACACGGGTGTGTGGTCTAGGAGCTATTTGTGCTGGGGAGATGTGTGGATAGGAGCTTTGTGTTGGGAGATGTGTGGACTAGGAGCTTTGTGTAGCTGGGATGATGTTGAGCTTGCGCTGGACTGTGTGGACTAGTAGTGTTTGTAGTGGGGAGATTTTGGACTAGGAGCTTTGTGTAGGGAGAGAGTGTGCCTAGACTGGGAGCTTTGTAGTGAAAAGAATTTTGGGAGAGGAGCTTAGTAGGGGAGATGTGTGGACTGGGAGCTTTGTAGGTGGGGAGATGTTTGGACTGGGAGCTTTGTAGGGGGAGATGAGCTTGTGGACTGGGAGCTTTGTAGTGGGGGGATGTGTGGACTGGGAGCTTTGTGCGGGGAGATGTGTGGACTAGGAGCTTTGTAGTGGGGAGATGTGTTGACTCGGAGCTTTGTAGTGTAAAGAATTTTGGACGAGGAGCTTAGTAGAGGGGAGATGTGTGGACTGGGAGCTTTGTAGTGGGGAGATGTGTGGACTGGGAGCTTTGTAGTGTGGAGATGTGTGGACTGGGAGCTTTTTAGGGGAAGATTTATGGACTGGGAGCTTGTAGGGGGAGAAGATGTGTGGACTTTGCTTTGTAGTGTAAAGAAGCTTAGTAGGGGGAGATGTGTGGACTGGGAGCTTAGTAGGGGGAGATGTGTGGACTTGGAGCTTTGTAGGGGACATATCTAAAATAGGAGAAGCTTTTTTAAAAAATTTTGAGTCTGTCGACAAATCTTTGGACCTATCAAATATACAAGCATTGGAGAATGGAGAGTGAGAAGCAACAACAAAATTCATAGTCTGTTTAAATTGATCTCTAGCATTTTGAGAGAATGTCAGATGACAGAGAGGTAAAAACTGTATAGACCAGCGAGGTGGATGGTTGTAAACTACGAGGCATACCAGAAAGACAATGGAGAGATAATGTCCAGACAGACTTACAAACACTTGATGTCACTAGCTGCAAAAAGAAAGCCAACCAGAGAGATGAATAGAGGTGGGTGATATCTGCAGCAATGAACCTCAAGGGCTTGGAGTGCCGAAGAAGAAGAAGAAGAGCTGGTTTAATTAATACAGTAGGTGATATTCTGTTTTTCACACTTGCTTCATAGATTTGATAATTGGCTATTAATTTTCTTTCAAGGCAAAACACTTTGAACCAGTCTGGGGCCACAGGTATGTAGTTGTCATTATTATTGTGTGTGTTGTTGTATCCACTTGTGTCTTATCATGACTGGCAGGTCATCTGCTGTTGTTTGTAAGTGCTACATCTTGCTGGTACGGCTGGCATGGTAGGAGGGGTGGGTGGTGGGTGTCAGTGACTGCTGCCAAGCTGGTATAAACAGCAAATAAATGAACAGACATCAGTTACAAGCAGAAAACTTGCTGACAATAAAAAGGCATGCAAGAAATCACTAAGTCTACCAGACACTTGACCAGCTAACTAAACTACAGAGAATAGTTTGCTGTTGGTCCTTTGTGTGCATTAAGTTTCTCTGGGTTTATTCTATTTCTGCTTGGTTAGTTAGTTGCGTATCCTTGACAGGTCATACCATGATACAACCATATCATTTTTTGGGGTGTTGTCTTTCAAGGCACATTTTTATGCTTAGTAGTTTTCCATTGCTTTCTGAGCTGTCAGCTCTTGATACCAATATCGAAATCAACGTAAGACAAACCGCCCGCAGCTGGGATAGATTCCTGCGTTGCGAAGCGTGTTCGCAACGCCTAAGCCACAACCGCCGGCTTCGGCCATCTGCTTGGTAACTACTCTAAATTGCAATGTGAAAGTCGATCTTAAGATTTTAAACGCACAAATCTCAGTTAAGCATATACAATTTTACTTATACATTGTAATTTATGGTCTATACTTTGATGGTGTTTTGCTAAAAAAAAATAATTAACCTTAGTTTGTAGGGGCTCGACTGCCAGGGCTGTAGTAACAGGAACAGATTCAGCCTCTTGTGAAGTCAGTTTGTAGGGGCTCGACTGCCAGGGCTGTAGTAACAGGAACAGATTCAGCCTCTTGTGAAGACAGCTTTGCTTCTGTGTCATCGGTTAGCTTCCTAACTTTGGTACAAGATAAGGGAACTGAAAAAAAACTAACAGTGTCACCTCATGTAAGTGTGACTGCCATTTCTACTTTCTAGATGTGTTTTTATTTTCCTTCAGCAAAATTCTGACAGATGTTCCTAAAGCAACAGGACCATCAAGCAACAGATCAAGTTCTGAGAATATTCCTACAGCCAAAACAAAACCAGGTCTCAAGTCCAATATGCGAGTTTCTTCCCTCATTCACAAACGCGCGTTAAAACACCGAGGACTTCGAGCGGGTCTGGACAGCTCAACACCCACTGCAAGGAAACTCTGGAAGTGTGGTGATGAGGCCTTGTCTCCGCCAGCCAACCATTTGTCCTCAGACTTGGCCTCAGCCTCTCCGATTCCAGCTTCCGCCTCATCGTTATCAGAGTCATCTCCAAACTCCACATCTTCCCTGACCAGTAGCAGCTCATCGCAGGACTCTGCCATCGCTGCCAGCAGAGAGATGCTAGCCAGACAGGTGGAGCAACTCAGGCAAGTTGTCTGCTGTTCTTTCTCTCTCTCTCTCTGTGTGTGTCTCATGCTCTCTCTGTGTGTGTCTGATGCTCTCTCTGTGTGTCTCATGCTCTCTCTGTGTGTCTCATGCTGTATCTCTCTGTGTGTCTCATGCTCTCTCTCTCTGTGTGTCTGATGCTCTCTTTGTGTCTGATGCTCTCTCTGTGTGTGTCTGATGCTCTCTCTGTGTGTGTCTGATGCTCTCTCTGTGTCTGATGCTCTCTCTGTGTGTGTCTGATGCTCTCTCTGTCTGTGTCTGATGCTCTCTCTGTGTGTGTCTGATGCTCTCTCTGTGTCTGATGCTCTCTCTGTGTGTGTCTGATGCTCTCTTTGTGTCTGATGCTCTCTCTCTGTGTGTCTGATGCTCTGTGTGTGTGTGTCTGATGCTCTCTCTGTGTCTGATGCTCTCTGTGTGTGTGTCTGATGCTCTCTCTGGGTCTGATGCTCTCTCTGTGTCTGATGCTCTCTCTGCGTGTGTCTGATGCTCTCTCTGTCTGTGTCTGATGCTCTCTCTGTGTGTGTCTGATGCTCTCTCTGTGTCTGATGCTCTCTCTGTGTCTGATGCTCTCTCTGTGTGTGTCTGATGCTCTCTCTGTGTCTCATGCTCTCTCTGTGTGTCTGATGCTCTGTGTGTGTGTGTCTAATGCTCTCTCTGTGTCTGATGCTCTCTCTGTGTGTGTCTGATGCTCTCTCTGGGTCTGATGCTCTCTCTATGTCTGATGCTCTCTCTGTGTGTGTCTGATGCTCTCTCTGTCTGTGTCTGATGCTCTCTCTGTGTGTGTCTGATGCTCTCTCTGTGTCTGATGCTCTCTCTGTGTCTGATGCTCTCTCTGTGTGTGTCTGATGCTCTCTCTGTGTCTCATGCTCTCTCTGTGTGTCTGATGCTCTCTCTGTGTCTGATGCTCTCTCTGTGTGTGTCTGATGCTCTCTCTGTGTGTGTCTGATGCTCTCTCTGTGTCTCATGCTCTCTTTGTGTCTCATGCTCTCTTTGTGTCTGATGCTCTCTCTGTGTCTGATGCTCTCTGTGTCTGTGTCTCATGCTCTCTTTGTGTCTCATGCTCTCTTTGTGTCTGATGCTCTCTCTGTGTGTGTCTGATGCTCTCTCTGTGTCTCATGCTCTCTTTGTGTCTCATGCTCTCTTTGTGTCTCATGCTCTCTTTGTGTCTGATGCTCTCTCTGTGTGTGTCTGATGCTCTCTGTGTGTGTCTGATGCTCTCTTTGTGTCTGATGCTGTGTCTGCTGTTCTTTCCCTCTGTGTGTGTCTGATGCTCTCTTTGTGTCTCATGCTCTCTTTGTGTCTGATGCTCTCTCTGTGTGTGTCTGATGCTCTCTCTGTGTGTGTCTGATGCTCTCTCTGTGTGTGTCTGATGCTCTCTCTGTATTTGGTGCTGTGTCTGCTGTTCTTTCTCTCTGTGTGTGTCTGATGCTTTCTTTGTGTCTCATGCTCTCTTTGTGTCTCATGCTCTCTTTGTGTCTGATGCTCTCTCTGTGTGTGTCTGATGCTCTCTGTGTGTGTCTGATGCTCTCTCTGTGTTTGGTGCTGTGTCTGCTGTTCTTTCTCTCTGTGTGTGTCTGATGCTCTCTCTGTGTTTGGTGCTGTGTCTGCTGTTCTTTCTCTCTGTGTGTCTGATGCTCTCTCTGTGTGTCTGATGCTCTCTCTGTGTCTGCTGTTCTTTCTCTCTGTGTGTCTGATGCTCTCTCTGTGTCTGATGCTCTCTTTGTGTCTGATGCTCTCTTTGTGTGTCTCATGCTCTCTTTGTGTCTGATGCTCTCTTTGTGTCTGATGCTCTCTGTGTGTTTAGTGCTGTGTCTGATGCTCTCTCTGTGTCTGATGCTCTCTCTGTATCTCATGCTCTCTTTGTGTCTCATGCTCTCTCTGTGTCTCATGCTCTCTCTGTGTCTCATGCTCTCTCTGTGTCTCATGCTCTCTCTGTGTCTCATGCTCTCTTTGTGTTTAGTGCTGTGTCTGATGCTCTCTCTGTGTTTAGTGCTGTGTCTGATGCTCTTTCTGTGTCTCATGCTCTCTCTGTGTCTCATGCTCTCTCTCTCTGTGTCTGATGCTCTCTCTGTGTTTAGTGCTGTGTCTGATGCTCTCTCTGTGTCTGATGCTCTCTCTGTGTCTCATGCTCTCTTTGTGTCTGATGCTCTCTCTGTGTGTCTGATGCTCTCTCTGTGTCTCATGCTCTCTCTGTGTGTCTGATGCTCTCTCTGTGTGTCTCATGCTCTCTCTGTGTGTCTGATGCTCTCTCTGTGTCTGATGCTCTCTTTCTGTCTGATGCTCTCTTTGTGTTTAGTGCTGTGTCTTATGCTCTCTCTGTGTGTCTGATGCTCTCTCTGTGTGTCTGATGCTCTCTCTCTGTCTGATGCTCTCTTTGTGTTTAGTGCTTTGTCTGATGCTCTCTTTGTATTTAGTGCTGTGTCTGATGCTCTCTTTGTGTTTAGTGCTTTAACTCATGCTCTCTTTGTGTTTAGTGCTTTGTCTGATGCTCTCTTTGTATTTAGTGCTGTGTCTCATGCTCTCTTTGTGTTTAGTGCTGTGTCTCATGCTCTCTCTGTGTTTAGTGCTGTGTCTTATGCTCTCTTTGTGTTTAGTGCTGTGTCTCATGCTCTCTTTGTGTTTAGTGCTGTGTCTGATGCTCTCTTTGTGTTTAGTGCTTTGTCTCATGCTCTCTTTGTGTTTAGTGCTTTGTCTCATGCTCTCTTTGTGTTTAGTGCTGTGTCTCATGCTCTCTTTGTGTTTAGTGCTTTGTCTTATGCTCTCTTTGTGTTTAGTGCTTTGTCTTATGCTCTCTTTGTGTTTAGTGCTTTGTCTCATGCTCTCTTTGTGTTTAGTGCTTTGTCTCATGCTCTCTTTGTGTTTGGTGCTTTGTCTCATGCTCTCTTTGTGTTTAGTGCTTTGTCTGATGCTCTCTTTGTGTTTAGTGCTTTGTCTTATGCTCTCTTTGTGTTTAGTGCTTTGTCTTATGCTCTCTTTGTGTTTAGTGCTTTGTCTTATGCTCTCTTTGTGTTTAGTGCTGTGTCTAATGCTCTCTTTGTGTTTAGTGTTTTGTCTTATGCTTTCTTTGTTTTAGTGCTGTGTCTCATGCTCTCTTTGTGTTTAGTGCTTTGTCTCATGCTCTCTATGTGTTTAGTGCTTTAACTCATGCTCTCTTTGTGTTTAGTGCTTTGTCTCATGCTCACTCTGTGTTTAGTGCTTTGTCTCATGCTCTGTGTTTAGTGCTTTGTCTTATGCTCTGTGTTTAGTGCTTTGTCTTATACTCACTCTGTGTTAAGTGCTTTGTCTCAATCTCACTCTGTGTTTAGTGCTTTGTCTCATGCTCACTCTGTGTTTAGTGCTTTGACTCATGCTCACTCTGTGTTCAGTGCTTTGTCTCATGCTCTGTGTTTAGCGCTTTGTCTCATGCTCTGTGTTTAGTGCTTTGTCTCATGCTCACTCTGTGTTTAGTGCTTTGTCTCATGCTCTGTGTTTAGTGCTTTGTCTCATGCTCTGTGTTTAGTGCTTTGTCTCATGCCCTGTGTTTAGTGCTTTGTCTCATGCTCTCTGTTTAGTGCTTTGTCTCATGCTCACTTTGTGTTTAGTGCTTTGTCTCATGCTCACTCTGTGTTTAGTGCTTTGTCTCATGCTTACTCTGTGTTTAGTGCTTTGTCTCATGCTTTGTGTTTAGTGCTTTGTCTCATGCTCACTTTGTGTTTAGTGCTTTGTCTCATGCTCTGTGTTTAGTGCTTTGTCTCATGCTCTCTCTGTGTTTAGTGCTTTGTCTCATGCTCACTCTGTGTTTAGTGCTTTGTCTCATGCTCTGTGTTTAGTGCTTTGTCTCATGCTCTGTGTTTAGTGCTTTGTCTCATGCTCACTCTGTCTTTAGTGCTTTGGCCCATGCTCACTCTGTGTTTAGTGCTTTGTTTTATGCTCACTCTGTGTTTAGTGCTTTGTTTCATGCTCACTCTGTGTTTAGTGCTTTGTTTCATGCTCTGTGTTTAGTGCTTTGTCTCATGCTCTGTGTTTAGTGCTTTGTCTCATGCTCTGTGTTTAGTGCTTTGTCTCATGCTGTGTGTTTAGTGCTTTGTCTCATGCTGTGTGTTTAGTGCTGTGGTAAGACTGGCTGGTTCGCAACACTGTGGTAAAGACTGGCTGGTTCTGCAACCACTGTGTAAGGACTGGCTGGGCTCTGCAACAATTTGTAAGACTGCTGGTTCTTGCAACACTGTGGTAAGGGCTGGTTCTGCACACTGTTGGCAAGTGGATGGTTCTGCAACACTGTGTGGTAAGACTGGCTGGTTCTAGCAACACTGTGTGGTAAGACTGGCTGGTTATTCTGCAAACACCCTGTGGTAAGAATGGCTGGTTCTGCAACAAGCTGGTAAGACTGGCTGGTTCGGCAAAAACATGTGGTGAGTGGCTGGTTCTGCAAGACTCTGTGTAAGTGCTGGTCTGCAACACACTGTGGTAAGACTGGCTGTGTCTGAACACTCTGGGGTAAGACTGGCCGGTTCGCCAACACTCTGTGGTGAGTGGATGGTTCTGCAACACTCTGTGGTAAGTAGGCTGGTTCTGCAAACACTGTGGAAGGGGCTGGTTCGGCAACACTGGGTAAGTGGCTGGTTCTGCAACACTCTGTGGTAAAGTGGTCTGGTCTGCACCACTCTGTGGTAAGTGGAGGTCTGCACCACTCTGTGGTAAGGGCGGGTTCGCAACACTGTGTAAGTGGCTGGTTCTGCAACACTGTGGTAAGATGGCTGGCTTTTTTATGCCAACACTCTGTAGAAGAATGGCCGGTGCTGCAAACACTTGTAGTAAGGACTGGCGGTTTGCAACACTGTGTAAGATGGCTGGTTCTGTCACATGTGGTAAGTGGCTGGTCCTGCAACACTGTGAAGACTGGTGGTTTCTGCAACACTGGTGGTAAGACGGCTGGTTCCTGCAACACTCTGTGGTAAGTGGGTTCTGCAACACTGTGTCGGTAAGTGCGCTGGTCGGCAAC